GTGCATTTTGTAGAGCTCTATGGCCCTACCTATTTTCCGAACCTCCTCTGCTGCTTGAGAGAGATTCTCATTTCTCATATCCTGCAGATAAAGCTGTTCTGCAATGTGGGGGTTCACATTGCGTTCCAGCAGCTCTACTGCATGTTCATTACCAAGACCCCCTTGGATGGAGAGGGCCAGGAACCGGGTTACGAAATCATCCGTCCTCATGTTGCCTTGTTTGAAGGAACAGATTTGCTGGCGCACACAGTCACGCTCAGCTTGCGGCTTGAAATATTTTTCAATCTCTACTTTGAGATCGTCCCAGGTGGGCCACACTCCCGCGGTGTAGCACTCCTGCAATCTAACTTGGGCGTATCAACCCGCCACAGGTCCCTTTAGTCGAGATAGTACCGCAGTGGCTACCTCAAAATTGTCGGCAAATGCGTCCCAATTTGCCTTAACCCATATTTGGAGTTTGATCCACCATTCGGCAAATTGCGCTCTGTCTCCCTCGAAGGCGCCAGGGTCAGCGACGACTTCAACTTTCTTATTGAATTTCTTCTCGACCGAGGGAGTTGCCGCAGGGGGATTTGCCTGCAGCTCGGCGAGTTTAGTGGTCAATGTCAAGATCTGTGCATGCATGTTGTGCAACAGAGCGTTGACATCCATTTGAGGTTGCAACGACATGTCAATTTGTTTTCTTTGTAAAGTAAAAAAAGGTAACTGGGGGTCCCCGCTTGCTATCTGCGGATCTACCTCTTCCCAGCTGAGTATCGGATCTCAATCTCCGACTACCCACACTATAGTATTGAATTTGTATGTAAAGTTATAGTATTAAACCCTGGTCCGAATGGTTGTCAGGGGGTGGTCCGCTTGTTAAGCTGTCAACCCTTCTCCAGACTGGCAGAGGCAAGTGCCCGGCCTGGTCAGAGGTATTCGAAGAGGAAGTTTTGTTTTCTAAAATCTAATCAACAGAGGTTCCACACCACTGCTGAGCTATAGTACTCCCCTTAACGCTGGGGGCCGCGTACCAAAGGTTTTGTTTCTTCTCCCAAAGCACTACAAGGCCGTCACTAGGAGCGCACCTATTTGCTATGCGGGATATTCCCAAACAATAACCAAATCTCCTTCACCCTGGAGTCCGGGTGCCCAATGGGACTTTTTGCACAATGTGCGAGAGAGTAGAAGAGCGAGTCCTAATGTAACAACCAAGAGTTAGTTACTCTGGTGCACACAAGAACACACTGTAAAGGTAGTGAATGGGGAGTGGTTACCCCTTAAGCTGCAGAGAGTTTGTTGGTATACAACAGGAGGACTTGCTAAGGAGTCTCCTGGATCTATTGGGGTATATATACTAATACAGAGTGTTTGTACTTATGTACTGTACAGTTGATAAAGTCAGTGGCTGATGATGTCATGGGGCCTAGCCCGCATGACCAGCTCCACTGTGTGAGAGAGTTGTATCTAAAATAAGAAGAAGGCAACGCGGCGCGAGAAAGAGGAGTTTGAACAAAAGGGGAAGTGCCGCGTGGCACCATGTGTGAAAGCTAAAGTATACAAGGTTAAAGCGGAGAATGAAAATGAAGGAAAGGTCCGAAAATTGTGTTATCGTAACACAAGCTCTACCTTGCTCATTGTAGCACAAAACAGGTTTGAGAACGATAAAGATGACAAGATTCCCAGTGATAGCAGGCTCCTGGCGCACAAACTGTAGTGCTCAGAAGGACCCTAATCAAAAGGGATGATAGTGACTTCAACAGTGGAGAGTGATGATGACAGCAGGTAACAGCAGTAGCATTGGAAAGTGTTGTGACCACACTGGATCACAAGTAGCAGTAGATAGTGGACTTAAAATTAGAGGAGAAGACTGGATTGAAATCCTTGATTTTACAAGGTCAAATACAGGGGTTTATATAGTAAAAAGAAAAGAAGGCTATGCACAGTATATCTGTGCAAAAATAATGAGAAAGAATGTGAAGGAATGTGCTGATGAGTCCTGTGCAAGTAGTATAGGATAAAATCATTAGAATAAGGAAAAGATGAGAATAAAACAACAAATGCTGTGTATATAGTGTTACAGATTGTACATTTATAAGATATAGTCTAATAGCAAAAAAAAAAGCAAGCAAATCATGAAGTCATAGGAATATGCAGTAAAAAAAGGCAACACAAAAACATCATCAGTATCAGCACAGCTCTCTTGTCATCAGTCAGGCATTCTAGAAAAATATATGTCCATAAAAATGATTCTAAATCAAAAATAATTGCACTGCAAATGAATGTTCTGCTGAGAAAAGGAACTGGAGCTACCGGTCCACCACCTAGTCCAAATCCAACAGTTCCATGGCCTTACCAATGGTCTGATTGTAGTGGACCACTTGGTCAAATGAGGGAGGGAGGGGAGGGAGGGGAGTGGTTCCAATCTGGAACAGGCGAGTCCCAGGCAGTGTATAGTAATTGTAGCTGTAGCAAAGACAATGGGTGAAGGATAAATGTGTTGGATATTTGGACCCTCAGGGTGTGGGAACAAGTGTGGGAGAAGGATTCCTGGGCAAACAAATGCCATAACAATGTAAATACAAAGCTTTTTATATAACAAACATATGTAAATACCATGTGAAAAAACAATGATAGCCACACAAAAAAGCCAGTTATAATTGCAGAGTAAAACTTTGGGCAAAGCTCTGAAGTTTGTTTGCTTACATAATATAATTTCTACAAAATATACCCGAGTGAATGGGATAGTGAGGAACATTGGCAATGCAAGTGTAGACTTTCTCCAGCTCAAAAATTACCCAGCCACATTCTAACCAGACAAGATGAGTGATTGTTGACACGATGGAAGATGGAAGATCAATGTCATAGAGGTGGACCAACTGCCCAATGGGGATTGGCTGTCAGGGCTTAGTTAATATGAGCAGCAGCATGTAGTAATCAATGGATTGGCGACAGAAGTGGATAGAAAGTGGTGACATTGGGTATAGAGGAGGAGTGTGGAAGTGACGAAGAGGTGAAAAATGATGGGGATCCAGAAATGACCGGTAGGTGAGAACAGAAATGACAGAAAAGGGCTCATGGTGGGGCCAGGTAAGGGAAAGGAAAAGGAAGTAGGGGAGAGACAACAAAAGTGAGGGCACAATGTGTAGCCAAGTGGCAGAAAAAAATTGCCAAAGTGCCAAAATGCGGAGTGTGGAAAGTACCGGATAAAAAGCAAAGGTAGGTGTGACTTGATTACCTAATATAGACAAGTGCTGATCAGCCACAAGCACGAAAAAGGTAACATTATTTACTATACCATGTGGCACAAAGGTGGGTCTTTTGAATTTTTGCTTCATTACTGGCAACTGCCCATGCTACTAATCAACTTTGGTGCATGACATCAAGTATCTACTACAAGGTGTACCCTTCGAGGTCATGAAAACCAAAGAAAGATGGCAGATGTAAGGACCATTTATTATTTTCTCTATGTCTTGGTTTTTGAACGCTTTCCCCGTTACACCTCTGGCCCTAGGGCTGGAGGTATTGTTTGCTATTCTACTTCTCATAGCCCTCACAGGCTTTCTCAACCATCATTACCACTTTATATTACAGATCAGAGACTGGGTATCACTCCCAGCCAGCCAGCACAATGGGTAAGGACTGGTGGTAAGCATCTCACCAACCAGCTCCAAGCCCCATCAGTGCCTGGAGATACTAATAAACGCTTCAGTCAGATCGTACCTCATCATGAGGATACAGTTCCTGAACACGCGTGACAACACTTATTATTAGTACACTTTCCCACCTGCTGATTAATCTTCAAAGTCATACAATAGTTATCCTTTTTCTCATTGGTTGATTTTCCCCTCAGACCACTTTCCTTTTATTCTTCTTTCGGTCTGAGGAATAGACGGTTAGCTATAAAAAACCTTATATAATCATGTATTGTTCTTTAGCTTTCTATTACTTGAAATACCCGCTTTACTCCTCATCAGAAACCTCTGAGTCTAATCCCATATCCTCTACTTGCTATATTCACTAGCATCTGTCGATCTTCAAGACTCACTGTACCTCTTACTCCCTGCAAGTGCAGTCGGAGACGGGTAGTGTTTTTGTTATAGTTTATCGTTGCCTCACAGCAGAGTATGTTACGATAACACAATTTTCGGACCTTCCCTTTATTATATTCTCCGCTTTAACCTTGTACTTTAGCCTCCACACATAGTGCCACGTGGCACTTCCCCTTTTGTCCAAACTCCTCTCTCTCGCACCGCGTTGCCTTTCTTCTTATTATAGACACAAACTCTCTCACACAGTGGAGCTGGCCATGTGGGCTAGGCCCCATGACATTATCAGCCACTGTCTCTATCAACTGTATAGTACACATGTACAAATAACCCTGTAGTAGTATATATACCCCAATAGATCCAGGAGACTCCTTAGCGAGTCCTCCTGTTGTTAACCAACAAACTCTCTGCAGCTCAAAGGGGTACCCACTCCCCATCATCTTTCTTTATAGTGTGGTTCTGTGTGCGCCAGAGTAACTAACTCTTGGTTGTTACAGAGTAATGCCTCCTAATTTATCTCAGGGGGCATCCCCAGATATTAGCACCCTACATTCAAGATAAACCGGCAATTCACTCAGCATTCATTCACTTCACGTCTCAAAAGGAGACCTTGGCAGTCCCCACAACAATTTGGTGTGTGAGTAAAACCCTTTCACTCCTCCTATAGCTCGGGTTCAGCATTGCTTCTGTGTCGTCCCTCCTACCACCCAAATGGTATGCAGCACGCTAACCCTCGCTTCACAGATCTTCAGAGATGTCTGCCTAGGGAGGGTCGCAAGTTTGCCACCACATACTCTGCGTGCTATATCTTTGTTTACTGTCGTTTGTACATGCCTTTTTTATACATCCACTCGTTACTGACCGGATATTTGTTTCTCAGTTACCAGATTCGAGCAAGCGTCAGCAGGCTGCATTGCGGCTGTCACGGTAAAGTCGTGAAAAACGTGAAGAGAAGGCGAAGGCCACAATGTCATCCAAACGACCCAGGACATCTGATTCTTCTCAGCCATCTGCTCCAAACCGTCCTTTGACTCTAGAGCCAACATCCAAGATCATTCGCACCTACCCGTCTTCGTCTGCACCAGGCTCAAGCTCAACCACAATGAACCGCCCTCTCCTCTGCACGCTTCCTCCAACATGCAATCCACCCCACCACAACGCCACTCAAATCGCAGATTCGAAAGAGCTGGAGATGCATTATGCAAAATACCATGCTCACGTCTGCGAACAGCGCGGGTGCGGATACGTCTTTCCAGACGCGCGATTACTCGAGCTGGTGAGTGGATCAAATGGTATTCATCATGCGAGCTCAATATCAACAAACGTCAATCACACGGCATCTATCTATGGAACATGCAATACATCAGCACCAGACTGAATGTCACGATCCATTAGCTGCGGTACGCAAGGAACGAGGAGAGAAAATCGTAGGCAGTTTAGCTATTATGTGTGTGTGGACTCGATGACTTATGTGTCGATCCCATCACGCTGTATGCCATGCATCCATCAGTTCGCGTGTCTCGTCGCCTCGTGCAATCGCATGTTCCTCACTCCCAAAGCACGGCGTCTGCACCTTATACAAGCACACGAGTATCCCAAAGAGTTCTTTTTCGCCGTCACGAACAAGGGGGTTGGAGGGCTGCTCAAGCGCTGGGGTGATGGGGCTAGCATGATTCGAGGCACATGGAAGCCAAGAGAGAATGGAGCAAATGAAGATCAAGACAAAGACGATGAAAGTAATAGTGACGAGGACGAAGATAGCGATATGGATGAAGATGATTCCGAGGATGAAGGACGGACACCGAGGATCGGAAGCTTCGCAGAACTCAAGAACGCCCCGAACCTCTCGAATACCGCGTCTTCTCCTCTTTCGAAGAGGGGATCGGAGCACATGGATGCAGAGAACGATGCACACTCCACCACAGACGTCGACAATCTAGCGCAGTCGATTACTTCGCTGACTCTTGTTCCGCCATCGATTCGCTTTGGGCGTGGTGGAAAGAACGGAGGCTTTGTACACCCGGAACTGCACACTGCCAAGGTGGCCCCGAACACTGGCCCGAACACTGGTCCGAATACGTTTGGGCCTAGGGGTGGCAGGGGAAGAGCGAGGATTGCTCACGTCGTTCAACCTCATGCAAATGGACATACTGGACGTGGAGGATCTATGGTTGCCACTGATGATGCCCCTCACGCAGTTGCAGATGAAAGGTCGTACAGGGGCAGAGGAGGGGGCGCCCCGCGAGGCTTTGCTCCTCGCGGATCTGGACGTGGAGGCATTATCAATATCAGAGGCGGCACGAGGGGGCGGGGACGAGGTGTGAGTGCGCGGGGGTCATAAGAGTTCGTCGTAAAAGCAAGAGCAGAAAGACAAAACAAGATGTATTATGATAAGGAGCAGTGTATTATTCTTAGTTTTTTGGGTAAGTCGTGAACACAATTGAACATTGCATAGTCATACAAATGCATGTGCGCTACCAAAGGCCGCCACCATTTCTTGGGAGAGTATGGTTCGTAGTCAAGAGTCACAGGTAGCCAATGAGAAAAATCACCGAGAAACAAAAGAAATATGGCAGCGAAGGAAAACCATTATGAAATCAGATAATACCGAAAAACATGCGGAAGGCGTATAGACCCGTGACATGAGAAATGTGTTGGATATTGTGGTCGATTATTAATCGTTTAATGTTGAGTCGAGGATCCGGACCAGGCACGCGGAAAGCTTGTGGATTTGTAGCTCACACTCCGCCCGTCAGGACACCACGAGACAGACACGAGTGATGCAAGTTGGGGCACGTTCTGCGAGGGATGGGATCGATGAGAAGCGAAGAAGGGCGAGCAGTACTGCGAAGGGTTGGTTCCGTGAGCTACTGTGCCGTTCCTAACATAGATTACACTCGGAAGGCCGAGCGGGGAGGCAGAACATAACAAAAGTGGCTTTTGTTATTTGCAATCAAAGTAGAACGAAGTTGGAAGCGTGGAGGCCAATGGGAGAACCGCGGTGAAAAGAATTGGAGAATACAATGCCTTTAGAGGACATGCTGTTATCTGGATTTTGAAATGAAGATGTGTTCTCTGATAGGAGGTTTTAGATATGAAGTGAGCACGTTAGATGAGGATGCCAGGTGACGATGAGAGGAGTCATGGGATCCTGATTGGACGGTTCGCTTGTAGTGATGTAATATGCAACGATAACGCATCGGAGAGTGGACAAAAAGTGACAAAAGTACGAGCAAAGCAGATGGCAAGTTCGAGATTTATGGTGTGCACAAGGAGCGTTTTTACGACAAGGCTGAGGAGGGGAAGCGTACAAAGTGCTATGGCACGAGGAGGATGGATTAGGCAGGCGTTGTATTCGAGAGTGCCCCCCCAGAAACCGTGTACAGCGGTGCGGAGATAGCCGAGGGGTGTCTGGGGTTGTGGCAGACAATGGCTGATTTGTTTATGGATATTTGTGGGTCCCAGTTTGGACAGTGAAGAATGGTTATAGACGGGAGAAAAGCTATTGTCCTTGGACAGTCGCTTGCATAGTGGCCTGTACTCTTTTGTTCCCTGTCTTTGCTCTTAAACCCAGCAGCACTGGTCTCGACTCCATCACTCCGTCGAGCTAGTCTCCTGTGCATCGTCTCCCATCTCTGCTTTCTTGTTTTCGTGCTCTCTCCTTCCTGTGTCCTGTATCCCTATAACTCCTTCAACGTCTCATCATTGCCCCAACGTCTCTCTCATTCTTTCCGTCACCTGTATCCTTAACTTTCCTATCCATCAAGACTCCGATAACCTTTAATCACTTCTCTCCCCCTTTGTAGCTCTCTTGCAAGTCCCAATTCTCTCTTTTCATTTCCCCTGCGCTAACAAACGGATGTCCTTGCTTTTTACAGCAAATCGGTTAACTCCGTTCATCTACCTAATACACCGCTTTCTTACTCTCTTAATCAAATCCATGTCTGCTGGCCCATTCCATAGTTCGCCTCAGGACATCACCGTAACCTTTAAACAGCAGCCTCCCGCTTACGCTTTCCTATCTCATCCCCCGCCTCAAAAGAAGCGTCCCACACAACCACTTCCTTCTCCTCCTTCCCAAACTCAGTCGATCCTCCAGAAACCTTCTGCCCGGCGCCGCTCCCATACCTTTTCTACCATCGTTGCCTGGGCCTCACACGTCCAGCCCGGCTCCCCGGCTCCCATCTCTCCCCATTCCCCTCGCAGACGCCCCTCTGTGACCAGCACTCGCCGTCCTTCTATCGGCATCGGCCGCAAGGCGTCTATCACCTCCACCCGTGTACCTTCCGGATCCTTCTTCAACATCATCGACACCCCTACCACCTACCGCTCCGCTACCACCCCATCCGTTGCAAACTTCAAGGCCGATTTGACAGCCGTCGGCTACACCTCCGTATTCGTCCACCTTCCCAATACCCCTCTGTCTGCTGCCCTGCCTATTGTGCTTAAATCTGCGGGTCCAGACGCGACCCACATCCCCATTCCTCCCATTCCCGTATCCCCATCGCGTCAAACCCGCACCCTCACGCGTTCCCGCTCTCTCTCTGTGCTCAAGCTCCTCCGAAAGCGCGCGCAGTCCAAGACAACAAGCTCACCTCCCTCTCCACCCGCTCACAAAATGAAATCCAAAGTTTCCTCAGACGCGATTGCCAAGCGCAAGAGGGCCAAATACGCCGCCACGAGACCCGCGCCTCTCGCCAACGAACTCGCGCTCATGCAGTTTGCTGACGGTGGGAATATGGACTCGCACATCAAACGCGTCATGGATGCTCAGGCGAAAGCTGTTGCTGGTCCTGGCCGTGTCGCTGGCGTTGGCGATGTCTACCGTGATGGTGAGGGCGGTGTATGGTGGGATCAGGCAGAGGAGTGGGAATATGCCCATTTGCTCGGTGGAAGCGATCCCAAAACGCAAGGTACGGGCGACATGGACTGGGTCACGTTCGACAACGGTGCAAAGTCGCCCAAGAACGCGCATACACTGATCGCACCCTGCACCGCCGGGGAAGGCGAAGAACGCCGCGGGAGTGTATCTACCCAGGACTCGGACCTCGATCCCCAATACATCGTCCAGCCCACAGATCACTTTGACACAGACGATCTAGCGGTGTTTGGCAGTGCGCTGGTGCCACTCGTTTCGCGCAAGCCCGCCATGTCCGTCCTAGCGCTTCCTGCGCGCTCTCGACGCACAGCCAAGCATCTCCGCAAGCCGGAGTACATGGTAGACGCCGCTTTCCCCCGCATCCCCGGTTCTCCCAAGGGTGCAAGGTTCCCTGCCAGCGCCACTGGTGCCGTGGCTAAACCGAAGCCCAAAGGCAAGGCACGTAGACGCCCCGCTCCGCTCACGTTGAGCCCCCCGAGCCCCGCCTTCAAACAGCCTTCCAGCTCACCTCTAGATGCTGAGAAGGTGCGCAAGGACTTTATCGAGTCCTCATTCGAGCCTGCCGTCCCCGCCACTCCCGCGACACCCTCTACGGCTGCTATAGCCCAGGCGACCGTGGATACTCGGGGCAAGTTGACCAGCAGGGCGCTGAATCTGCCTTTTCGTAACGTCAATTCAAGCACTGCGAGCTTACCTGCGAAGAAATCGTTAGGAGTTAAGCCTTCTAGACTAAACATGAATGTGATGGGTCTGTTCAGGAGTAATAGAAAGGAGGGGGTCGTCCACTAGAGCTAAAGTCACATCTTGCCTGGATCCATTGCTTCTTATGTCGATTGTATCGCATTCTTCACCTTTGGTTTGCTTTTCGGGCACTACATGTTTTACCGCTTTTGTCATGTTTTTGTATCCTTTTCTGTAGCTATAGCGCTCGTGATCGATGCATGTGTCTCCCTTGCTTGGCTGACGCATTATGTTGTTTGTTATCCTCTACACTTTCTATCCTAGCATGTTGCATAATCTTTTTTTTGTCTTGTTATTTTTCTGATGATGTTGTATGTCACAAACTCTGTACGCTCATATACATAAATCAAGCGAAAGTATCTAATGTTATTTGACCTTGATCAGCCGCATTTGAACGCAGTTCTCAACGACTTGAAATGGCGCAGTTCAATCCAGGTACCGTGACTACTACTGGTAGTACGAGTCAATGTCAGTGGTGAGTAACCATCAGTTGCCATCTCCTCCGATTCCAAATACTTACCAGGAAACTACCGATCTCTGGTTCGCGATCGACTCTGACTCTCGGGGGTCGAAGAACCGAGGATCATCGACCGGTACGGTTCGTTCAGAGTTACTTATCGCCAGTGAGTTCGAGTCTTCCTGAACAACTTACGCGTTCCTACTACCAACATCGATCCTACCAGTGGCCTTCCATCTCTTCTACTACGCATAATGCATCGAATCGTGAACCGGTGCTCTTCAAATCCGACTGCATTTCGTCACTGACACCAATCGCTCCGCGCCAGATGGACGTTGCAGTCTGAGCCAGTACAATGGGATTGGGATCTGCCATTGCCAGTGATCGCGGCTGAATGTATGTCGAGTCAAATTCTGTTTTGGAGGGCATTGCAGTATCGGATTGTGAGGCCGCTTCTTCAGGGTTGGCAGTTTGGCCTTTACAACAAAGCAAGACCGGAGGTTGATATCGATGCAGCGCCCTCGAGCTCCGATCGGCTTTGAAACCACTTCTAGCTCGATTTTTCACGACGGGCTTTGGTGTTTGAGCAGACATGGCCATTGTGCCAACGTTCCTCGCGCACACCGTCACCCAAGAGGTGTGGACTCCAGATTCATTGCCAACCTACATGTTGGTCACGTAGATACGATGCAGCTGTCATTCGTGGCTCTACTTGCTTTGCCTACCAAACCTCTCTTTCACAGCACATATGACCCGACCTCGAGGCCTGCAGTGATCAACCTACATTCATTCAAGGTTATGCTGATATTTCAAATTTCACAGGAGGAATATACTACGACAATGTTTAGATCGGTGGTCTACTAACGGTGTCTCATCTCGCACTCTATTCGAGGAGACAAATATTGGGTTGCGACTGGTTATTCTAAGGTTTCACCTACGACGAATTTAGTTGCATGCCAACCATCTACACCAGGTCCAATCTTTGCTGGCAATTCCGCTGGAGTGGCTATATATCAGCGCTTTTACATATAAGCCGTAGTCATAGGGGTTTACTGGCTGGTCGGCCCCGACGCACTAACGATTGATGCTGTGTTGAGTTGTGACCCATTTTTTTTCGATCGTTGATACGGGAACGACTGTTACTTATTGCTGGTCTCCTTGTCGATGTCTAGCCGCCACATGACAACCTCACAGGTTACAATTTCAGGCTGACCCTGACAGGTTCAGTTGGTGCGTCAGTATCTCTTTATTTTCTAGCATGGTCCATATCGAAATTGACTCAACTTTATAGTTCCTTGCAGCTCCGCACCTTCATGTTCGGTGAGCCTTCCTGAAACTTTACTGTGGGGGGGCCGCGGTACAGTAGAGATAGAGTCCGACTCCATTGGTAGAGAATCTTGCATACATTGCGTATTTCAGATCAATTTTCTTGACTCGTAAATATATTATAGGAGATACGTTTTCCCTGAACGTATACGCGTTTTGGATACTGAAGCCAAGCACGTTGAATTTGAATCTTTCAGACCTTGCGAAGACTGAAAAAAGAATCTTGAGAACGTTTGGAGATCTTTCAATCGTTGTAGTTGCGCACTTACGGTAGACAGGTCAAATTTACTTTCATTCCCGCAACCATCCAGTTTGAGCATGAGTTATTTGTACTAGGTGTCTTTAGGACACCTGCAGGTTCGACGCTTTCAACGATGGTGATGAGTCGATATTCAGACTAGTGCGCAATACGAATACGAATAGGGCTCGTCTAGCGAAACGATGCAACCTTTATACGAAGTACATAGCTTCAGGGATGCGTGAGGGTGAGAGCGGTATGCAATGCTCGATTAGGAAGGTAAGAACGACTTGCCTTGGATTAGGTGAGTGGCGGTGGCGGTTTTCCCAGTCTGCCAGTGCAGCAAACAACCTTATCCATTATTGTCCATAAGTCATATACGCACTTACCGTCTCCTCTCCATTGATAAGCAGTTGTATACTCCTTCCAGCATGGCCAACGATAAAGAAACACTACTCAGTATGGGCTTTGACCCATCTCGAGTAGAATGTTCGCTTCATCCCTCACGTCTATCGGTATATCAACTGACAGCCACACTCTGCATCGCTTCCAGGGGCCCTGAAGGCGACAGGGAATCGCGGTTTGCATTCCGCAATGGACCACATTCTGGAGCACGAAGGACAGCCTGTCCCCGATCTAAGTGCCGTAACAAGTTCAACGAGTGGATCAGGACGTACTGACCAACCGATGGACGTGGACGAAGATGAAGACGACGCAGACACTTTGAGAGCTATTGCCGCCAAGTCCGGAGCACCTATCTCTGCAGCAGATCTAGAAGCCAAGGTGCGTGGAGTACTCCTCGTCCGGGGAGATTCATCAGGGGATGATATGTACTTATGTTATCCAATTACCCGTCCTCCCATGATGCTCCAAACTTCAAGAGCATCAAATGTACGGAGTGTGGTAAGATCTTTAAGAATACTGCACTGGCCAATTTTCACGCGGAGAAGAGCGGCCACGATCAGTTTGAGGAGTCGACGGAAGAGGCCAGTGAAGCCTTCATGCATCAGTTGCATTTTCACTTACATCAATTTGCAACCGTAGGTCAAGCCGTTGACCGAAGAAGAGAAGGTACAAAAACTGGCAGAATTACGCGAGAAGATGGCAGCCAAACGTGCAGTGAAGGCTAAGGAGGAAGCCAAGGAAAACAAGGCGAACGAAGCGCTTCGGCGGAAGGCTGGTAAGGTGGGTGACGACTGGCGCATGTGCTCCCACATACCTATCTGACAATCTCCTCCGATCGGCTCAAAGGACATGAACAAGGTCAAAGAGGATCTCCAGGCGAAGGAGATTCAGAAAGAGGTTGAACAGAAACGCCGAGGTAAAATTCGAGCCTTTTTTACCATTTTCACATGAGCCACAAGTTTTTTCCGTGGCAGATAAAATCGAGGATGCGAAAGCCAAGGCAGCTATCAAGGCACAAATCGAGGCCGATAAACGCGCACGTGCGGAGAAAGCAGCACGAGAGAAGGCCCTTCGTGAAGGCAGGCCCATAGTCGACGCTCCCGCCAGCACGTCGGCCGCAAATGCTAGGCCTGCTGCCTCAGCTTCAAGTGGCGTCGCAGGGAGGGATTACAAAGAAACGAGGCTCCAGATTCGATTGGCGGGTGGGGGACAACCGTATACTACTACGCTATCTAGCGACGCCAGTATGCACCTTCTCTTGCAGAACGTTCTTAACACAGGCTGACATGGCTGAAAGCGTTACGCGAGGTTGCCGAGTTTCTGGCAGCTCAAACCATGTCGGTGGACGTAGAGACCGTTGCCTTCGTACAAAGTCACCCCAGGTCAGTATCCCCGATTTGTAAAAATGCCGATTCGTGCGGCCCCACATGGGGTTCATCTGCCTGTATTAATCGCACGTCTCTATGAATACAGGAAAGCCTTCTCTCAAGCAGATTTCAGTCGGACTTTGAGAGACCTCGGATTGACGCCCTCTGCGGTACGTTATCATTTCCGCTCATTTTCACACGTGAAGGCTTATAACTGTGTCATTAAACTTGCATCTAGGTTCTCATTGCGTCTTGATAGGACGGAGAGGAACCGTGTATCATATTGTATCATAGCAGTAACAGGGGACCGTTCGCGGACGTCAGATTTCTTGAAAGAGCATGCCCAAGCAGGAATAGAAGATCTTCCTAATGTATTCTAGCTCTTCATAGATTGTTACTGATTGATGGAGATAAGACTTGTACCGAGGAAGAATCCAAAAAAGCCTCCTCCACAGCCTTGCTGCCTCAACCAAGTCCACCTAATGCGTGTATAGTACAAATACAGCAACAATGAGGATGAAGTAAACGGTAGCTATCGATATAATTGTTCAATGCTTCAGCAACACTCCTGTGAGTATTGCATGCCCTGAGCATAAGTTGACGGAAGGATCTATATAAAATCTGAGAAGACGAGAAGGGCGACGAGCAAATACATGAATGCAAAAATAGAGGGAAAAACTAAGCCAATTATGAATATTCCAGCATCGTGATGTCTCCATCCACTCCACCTAGCGCAATCTTGCCGGTCTCCTCCACCATCGCTATACGGGTCCAAGCGTCATCCTGTATTACCTCGAACACCATTGAAGCCTTCACCATGGGAGGTGCGCCGCTTTCTTCTTCATCTTGCCAGTTTGCAATGGCGCCTGCCAATCGCTGACCACGGTGACTCTCCACAAACCTATCCTCTGTATGGCTGTCCGTCCAGAGGGCAGTACCATACCGGCCTAAGGCAACAGAGGATGTCGCAAATAGACGGACCGGAGACCCAAATGACTGGACATGTCTAGGATCAGCGAAGTAGGGTAGGTTGGCCGCACATGTATGGCGTTCGCGCGTGTACATCGGGTTTGGAGTAAGGGAAAAGTGGTGGAGGAGGTTGACGGGCCATGGGAACCCACTGTTAAAACGAACGAACACGTTGATTGGAGCGGGCTTGTTAGCCCTTGTGGTGTGGTAGGAGACCTGCTCAGCAACGTAGACGCTGTCCGTTTTCCATTGCCAGCGGTACTGCGCAATAGGAAATACCAGTAATGGGCTAGTAGATGTAACATTAGGAGAGCGGGGAGCCAAGGGGTATATCTCCAATGTAGTTGTGCGAATAATGATTACGCAGTCGTCGGAAACATGAACTGCTTGGCATTTATCGACCTGCAAGTTCAATGACTCAGATTAGGTTCCGAATTGGAGTGCTTCAGGCTTAGAGTTACCTGCACCTGTACGGGATTTCTAAGCCTAAAACTCTCTTGTTCGGGGTCTTCTTCAAGGTCACCCAAGTTCCAAACACACACGTCACCGTCAGGGTATCTGGTGACAAGAGTGGAGCCCTTCAAGGCGTGAAGCTCTCTGACTCCATCGACAGCCGCTAGAGTTTCGAATGCAGACTCAGGTTCATCCGCCTCGAAGTCGATGGTGAATATTTCAGTCCTACAACAGGGTAAATTCGATTAGTATATAGGCGACTTTATTTTTGATCAGTTACAGACTGGGCAAATTGCATGGCTACGATAGCGGGGCTGGTAGGGTCGGAATTAATGGCGATCCCCCCAAAGGGTCCTTCCACGTGTATCAACTCGGCGACACATCTCGGCTCTGGAACAGCGACATCCCAACATTGGATGGAGAACTTTCTCGGGGACGGACACATAGTGATTGACATTAACCAACGATTTGATCTGGCTGGCAGAAATTGCAAGAAAATATTACGTGAATTGGGATCAGCAGTGGGAACGAAGTTCAACTGCCTCGTTTTTTGCGGCGCAGGTGAAGACCAGTTTCTGCGCAGAGTGAGGGCGCGACGAACGCAATCTTCTAGCTGGTCGGCGGACATCGACTCGACTGTATCGCTATCGATGCCTGGGACGGGGACATTCTTTTCCAACACATGAGTGCGGTATAAAAGGGCCCAGATGCTGCGCAAACGTGTAGTGGCGAAAAAGGCCTTGCACGTCTATGCGATTTAAAGATGAGATCAACAAGGATGAAGCTGTGAAGTAGAACAACTGACCCGCCGCAATATTAATACATCTTTGAGGGAGAGATGGGAAAAGATGTCAAAAAGGACGTCGAGAGGCACCGGAAAACAGGGCGGCGCGTCCCACGAATCAATTGTGGATGAGTCTGCCATATTTGCTCGATTCCGTTACTCTAAAAACTAAAAAGAAAGGGCGGGGCTCGAACGAGGAAAATCACCGGTAACAAAGTCAGATGAACGCACAGGAAAGAATAACAGTACAGATTTGTGGAGTGGTGATTTTACTGGTAGGAAAGGAGAAAAGAAGATATAGTGCTCGGTTCTGTGTGCAACGTGTTGAGTGGGATGTGTCCTACTGAGACAAGCGGGGGTGTAGTAATAATTATGTCCGCGATGGCTGGGAAGTGGGGAGAACGAGGGGACAGGTAGCATCAGTATATGATGAAAAACAGGAGTCTTTTAATATTTAACGGAGGGCGGTATTGAAAGCGATGGGCGAAGGCTATTTCTCTGTAAGCTTGTGCCGTCGCGGAAAAGTCAGCTCCGCGCTTGCCACGAACTGATGATAGTGATAAAGGTACCCACGGTATTTCTCCCTTTGTAGCTCCTTCGATTCCGTGTGCCTCGCTCTTCCCTTTATGTGGTCAGTGAGTGCAAGCAGTTCGTGAGACTGGAAAGTGCCCAGGGATCAGTGTGCCATGATAGTAAAATAACATAGCACCACGAGCCAGCTATACGTTCCGAATATAGCCCTATATGGGATGCGGATGACGCGCCAAAATCGGACATGCGTGCAAAAAAAACAAATGAGAGCATCAATGCATCATCCATAGAGAAAAAAACAAATGTTTTTAGGGCCGACCTCAGCGTGCTCGTCAGATGCTGGTGCCCCTGGTGCGTGGAAAGCGCCACGCTGCTGTACGGAACGATAGAGACCCTAGAAAGCCAGCGCATCGACAACGTTAAGTTTCATTATGTATGATCGATACAACCTTTCGTTGTCCTGTCACAAAAACAGAAATACGAATAATTGTAGTAATATTGGCAATATTATTTTCCCACTAAATGTGAAATATGTGACCGAGTTCTGTTTTGGAAGTCCGTGATGGTGCAGTCACAGGGCGGGACCGGCAACCTATCGTCTCAGCGCTGGTCGTAAAGCATCTTTGGCCCATCACTGCACAATATTTCCAGCACATTGACACACGGACGCGCCCTAACGGTTTCACATAGTATCTTATATCAGAACTAGGAAGAGCTAGGCTGGTCAGTTTCCATTTCCAAGCCTTATCTTATGTACAACCACATTAAACCCGAAACCAATGACTATACCTCCGGCAGCAGACAAAACAAGTGGTTATTGCATTTGCATTCTTCCCCCGAATCAGACGTGCTCTTCAACTAAGGCTAACGTGCTCGAGATTCCTCGATCTGTGTGTACCATTTCCTCAATGCGACCGGAAAAGTCTCCGGTGCCATCATGTTACACTAATCCCTGGTTTAATTTTATTCAGGGCTGCCGTACAGGCAACGTTATTCTTGTCAGCGCCGTACCTGCATTTGGGCGCTTTCAGCCCGACATTGTGCCACCGTTCAAGTTCCTCTCGGCGTCGTCTCTCATTCTATCGTATCTTTACTAGCTGTTGCCATCGCCCCCATCTTTGCTAATTAATGGACCTCGACGTTGACGAGAACTCCAGTCGAAGACCATCCCTGGTACGTGATCGCCCAGCTCGTCCTCCATTACCCCACGGCCCTCGTGTTCGGAACCGCCCCAAGCATGCTCTCGAAATCAGCAGCACTTCCTCATCTCTTGAACCGACTTCACCTCACAGTTCGACTCTTGCATCACCTTCCTTCTCTAATCCGTTCTTATCGCCTTCTCTAACTCCCACTCATCATCAAGAAGAAACCAGCTCAGACACGACAGCACTCTCTTTGTCTGCGCCCACAGTCACCATTTCCTCTCATATCGCAACTACAGCAGAGATTGGCGTTCAAGCCATTCCTATTTCACCCTCATCACCAGTGCAAGCTCCCCTTCCGCCCCGAATAGCCTCCCCAACAATCAAATATGTCCCTAAACCAGCCACCCTCGCACCACCGCCCCAGATCAATTTTGATTCGGTACCTATACCATGGAAAGGACTTCCTCTAGACGCTGCACAATGGACGTTATCACAACCCGAACTGCAGGAGATAGTATCAAGAGCCATTCGTCTTTCCGCTCAGGAATCGTTCATTCGACTTCTGTCGATAGAATCCCTTGATGAAGCCATTGTCACCGAAACTGAGCGTTTGAGCGCTTTGAAAGCAACCACCCAAGCTCAGTATCGCTTTCAAGTCCATCGTCGCACCATGCTTCTTCAGGCACTGAACTCGTTCGTGACAGCTCCACCAACTGATAACAAGGACAAGGATGGGGGAATTGGTTCACTAAGTGGTATCATCACCCAACTGTCAGATGCTACTGCTACATGTGATAGGTTGACAGTGGAGTTACTGCGGGTCGCGGATCAGCTGGCCCAGTTATCGAAGGTACAGGATAGGCATTGGGCCAGCGCCCTCAGTATCGCGCTGCGGAAACTCAACAAATCTTATGAGCGACAAGTCATGGAGACACGAAAGACGAAGGAGAAGGTTGAAGCTCTGGAGGACGAGCTCGAGGAAGCCTGGAGAGAAGCAGAGAATATTGCGCAGGAGATCGACGAGATTGAGTTTAGCGATGAGGAGGATGGCGACATTGAAGGTGACTATGGACTTGACGAGGATATCAGCACCGATATGGGTGAGGTCATTGGGGTCACTGCGAGAGTAGTTGCCCAGAAAGCGACCCTAATCCCCAACAAGCCTTCCACGCAACATCTACAGGTATCCGATAACAAGTCTGTCCGCAGTCGTCGCAGTGGTCGCGGTAGAATACTCGTTCGAAGAGACAGCCATCACAGTCGCGTATCGGCAGCTAAAACACGCAGTCGTGCTGCGTCAAACGCAAGTCTGAGGCTACCAAAAGCAGTCAGAGGAGGCGGGCCACAGTCACCGACGGACGTGGCTAAGGAGGAAGCACCCCCGATGCCAGCACTTCCAGATAGTCTACAGGGAAAGTCTTTCCTGGACATGGAAACCAAAACCTCCGCCGATACGTACGAGTTCGTACGCCCTTTGCGTAAACCTGCAAATGCTTGTATGTGTTCTATCTCTTCCGTATCTCATTCGGATCAGCCTCTCAATCATCTGGCTTCTGTAGATCCCCCGCTGAAGACCCCCCCTCTTTCCGCGGGCTTCGACCATTCCATCATACCTGCCATGTGGATGGAAGGTCGAGCGTCAAATCGGCAAGCAGAAAATCAGCGCTCCCAGTCCATGCGTCTTTTCCCATCCTTAAGACACCATCAATCACGGCGTTCAGACCCGGAATATACCACGGACACACAAAAACGGAAACGCTTCTCGTTTACCCTGTCTTCTCGTGACAGGCAAAATACACCACCGCGAGTCGGAACACCCAATACTGGATAACACCTGGCAGGATTTCTACGGGTTATCTCTCACATTTATCTGTAATTAACTTGTTTAATTGTTATAAGCACTATGTATGCCATGTATACTCGTCTTGTCTGTTAATGTCTTATTTGGTAGAACCCACATATGCGAACCTATCTGCATCTATATATACTAATGTAGTCTTCCTCCAACTTGCAATTATATTTTCACGCTGTCCATTTTGCATGCCAATCCATTTATATGTCTCATATCATTCCCCATCTGTTGTTATATGGTTCTTGGTCTTTGGGCCCCTATTCATCGCTTCTCATAACTGTAATGGATAAAAAAAGCCTTTACGGCCAACTACTTCGATGGCACCCATCCATCTTCTGTTCTTCGGGATCTTACGTTCATAAAACTTTGCGCATGACCTATCAGTGACACAGAATGACCAAAGCGAAAAAGAAATCGGGAATAGCATTGTTCCATGAGGCCACAGGTCTAATTCTGATAAGGTAGTTGTCCATAGGGGGTGTATGCGGCAAAGAAGGAAACTTGAGCCCATGCGGCTTTTTTACTCGTTTACCTCCACATTCCCCAGTGCCATCGTGCCTTTATTGTTCAGGAGAGTAAAGGATGCGCCGTCTCTACCCGCCTTTTGCGCTTCAGCCGCAACAGGTAGCGCAGCAGAGCCCAATATGCCGGCATTGCGTATGCTTTTCGCAAGTAGGGGCACCTGTCAGACGGGCGAATTAGTACAGGTCACAGGGGTTGCTGTAGGCGAATTGCGGCATTTACCTGAATCTCCACGTTAGACGAAACGTGCGATAGAGCACCTGTCACATAGCTAGCAGCGGCGATGAGATCCTTAGAGTGAGGGAAGAACAAATATCAAGTTCATCAGCTTACCCAATAAGCGTTTCCCCGAAGCGTTCCCCTGGCCGGCCTCTCAGTAAGGCAGGTCGAAATACAATGGTGTCTTTGTATCCGAGCCCCGCTAACGCTAGTTCTGTCAAACCCTTACTCCTGTGCGGCTCGGTGTAAGTGACCAGTCAAGAGAACCATCAAGGAAATTCGTACTTGGGATACAAAAATGGCGAGGACGAGTTGGCGCCTGTTGACTAAGTCACCGGGAATCAACTTAGCACTAGTATGCAGTATCATGGGATGTGGAAATGCATACTGAGAGATACACTATGCGCTGAGAATGGTTTGGGTCATTCGATTTGGCTTCTTTCACCGCATTGACAACATATCTGTCAAGGTATCCCGAACGTCAGTGAAAAAGTGCAACGCAACAAGGCTCGCAGTCCTTACTCTCTATCAATTTTTTCAAAATTAGCGGCACTTCCTGCAATAGCTCTCGTCGTGCCAAGACTAAAACAAATGCCACTCTCAGAGATGAAGACATCTATGTGGGGGGAAAACATCGACATACGTCACAAAAATAACGTCCCATTTGCCGTCCTTCAAGCCTGCTTGATTCAGCTTTTCGAAATCAAGCGTCTTCTGCTCTAGCTTTTGCTTTCCGGGAACGGACTCCAATTGATCAGCTGGGGTTACTCTGCGGCCAAACTCGCCAACACGAGTGAAGTGTGAAGAAGATAAGATCTCTTTGAGAAGATATTGTCCAACCGCACCAGTTGCGCCGAGAATGAGAGCGGATTGACCTTCTACGATGATGGGCTTTTCAAATTTGTGAACGTTAATACCACTCACCAGGCATGAGTAGAGTGGGAAGATGTAATTTCTAGTTATGGGAAACCGTGGTGGTGCTTTGCTTTTGGTGAGACCAGTCTCACTGAGATTCACGCTTATTCAAGTTCGCAGGTGGCTATGCCGCACTGGCATTCAGATAAGTTCCCATTGACGCGTCGTGGAGCAGAAGAGTACGCGTCCCTAAGCCGATTGCATTCGAAGAGGACATATGACGAAATTTGCGAGATTGCCACATGTGAAAATGGCTTTGCTTCCAAGCGATGACTAGTCGATGACTTCCGGATCTGACATGCAATGTTCTGACATACTGAATTCTACTACCCCTGCCCAGAACTTGGAATAACATTATACTACCATCCCCCAGATTACAAATTGATACGGGAAACATAGGAAGTTCAAAAATACCATCTAGAGTTATTTGTTCACGTTCATCTTCCCAAGTGCTACTGCGCCCTTATTGTCAAGAACAGTAAAAGATACACCATCTCTCCCCGCTTCCTGGGCTCCAACCGCCGTATGTAATCCAGCAGAGCCCAATATACCAGCATTGAGCATACTTTTCGCAAGTAGGGCCACCTACAAAGATGGGTGTGTTTAGTGCAAGTTGTGAGGTCGTTTGTGGAGGTAGACAAGCACCTGAATCTCCATATTCGACGAAAAATGCGACAGGGCACCTGTCACAAAACTAGTCATAACAACGGTGAAAATGTGAAGCGAGCAATTTCATTTATTTACTACTTACCCAGCAACGATCTCTCCAACTCGTGCATCTGTTCGACCTTTTAGTAAGACAGGCCGTAATACAATGGTGTCCATATATCCCAAGCCAGCCAATGCAAGCTCGGTCAAACCCTTGCTCCTACACGTTTCACATGTGAGCAATGCAACAACAGGGGATTATCAAGATTTGTACCTCGGATACAAAAATGTTGACGATGAGTTTGCGCCTGAAGCCTAAGTTGTCGACGGATCAAACTCAGCATGATGCCTTTGACATCACTTAGATTGAACCACGCACCGATAGATAGACTATGCGCTGAGAATGATTAGGGTCAGTCGACTTGGCCTCTTTGACTGCATTGACAACATATCTGTGGAAGCAATTGTTGGCGAAATTGGCATTGTAGCAATGTAATAAGATATCAGGAGAATGATGGTACTTACTCCCTGTCAACTTTTTCAAAATCAGCGCCAGCGACAGCTCTGGAAGTCCCGAGCCTAAAGGTACGTTTATCAGGGATCGATGTATGCTTATATTAGAGAAAAAGCGACCTACGTCACAAATATAACATCCCAATGTCCATCCTTCAAACCTGCCTGATCCAGCCTTTCAAAGTCAATCGTCTTCTGCTCAAGCTTCTGCCTGCCTGGAGCGGACTCCAGCTGATCAGCTGGCGTCACTTTACGGCCGAATTCTCCAACACGAGTGAAGTGTGATGAAGACAAGACCTCCTTGAGAAGACATCGTCCAGTGGAACCAGTTGCGCCAAAAATAAGAGCAGATTGACCTAGAGTTACAATGGATCTTTAGGATTAAATCCATTGAAAGTATCGCCATTACTGCACCAACTCACCAGACATATGTGTGGGGAATGGGAAGTGTTTGACAGAGTGTTTGGACAAGCTGAACAGAGCAGTACTTATACTTATATACTTTGGCTTCTGTACTTCGTCATACCGGTTCAGTGTAAACACCTAGAAGGACGGCACACATAGGGTACGCGTCCCAAAAGCCGTCGAAAGATCTCCTTATAGCCAACCTATAGTCACGGTAGACTGGCGAGAAACAAACAGTCGACAATTAGCTCACTGTGATGGTAGATCTCAGTGCATAAGGAACCAACTTATCTTCAGGTATCCAGATATAGCATTAACTAATACGTATGCATACCTGACAACGAAAAGTTTGCAATTTGACCCGTTCAAACTCGAAACCACATCTAAGTAAGATCAAATAAACGGAGAACACGCTCGATAAGGACAGTACATCAACAAAAGTTACTGTATTATAAAACATATTGATGTTATACTCGGCACTACGACCCAATTTAGTCTATTAGTTTGAGTCATCTCGAACAACCGGGCAACAAAACTTTGGCTATGTTTAATCGTCCTCATCGGGTCCTAATACATGTGTAGTGGTATCATCCCGCGGCACAGGCGCGTACCATTTTGATGGGCTCCGAGGAGAGGCCAATTCAATGTTGTTACCGGTAGTTGAGAAAGATTGGGCATTTCTTCCGGTAGTAGAGAATAGGCGGATCAACGTGAGGATGAGAGTGTACAACGCGAATGCAAGACTGATGCCATCTGGTCATGAGTGGGCAGTGTAAAATCATATAACAGGACGGACCTGAACATAATCAGAAGATAAGTGACATGATCCATGCCATTGACGTGTACATAGTCAAGTGCCTCGTCGGTAGCGGACATGAGCAAAATTCTGCAAGAAAATATGAAACAAAGCCAAAGTCGAAATCATGGTTTAGCCCTTACCCAGACGCTACGAGAAGCTACACGCAAGTCCTATATTAGACTATACTTTATAACGATATTATTTGGGACTTACGATAGGTGGGAGGTGACGGAAAGCTCTGGCAGCAGCCATCTTCCCATCATCACTTGACGAATAACCTGGAGTAGATTCTGCAAGAGTGTTATCACTTTGATCGTCTCTGTTGGACGCATCTGAATATTTCGACGGGACAAAGCAGATTTCGACTATGCGAGAAAATCCAGCGAGCATAAGCGTGCATCCAAAAGTTGTATGAACCTTAATGGGCAATTAGGCATTTCAAACGATGCAGAAAGCGATGAATACCGTACCTTCGTGGATATTTCCAGAGCTTGAGCGTGCTGCGACATTGCCCAGCCAGTCAAAATAATGCTGTGAGAATGTCATCACTTAGCGACATCCTAATACAAGTACCTTAACATATACTCACATCAAACCGGGAACCACATTGCGCTGATAAAAGACTTTAGCTGAGCGAAAGCAGCTAAGTAGGAGTGTATATCTACTTGATTATTTTGAGATAAAAATATCCCTAGTATGCCTCCCGTCCACCCTACAGCATAATCACGTTAAGTAATACTGGTTGATTGATGCGAGTGAGTATCTCGTACATACGATGCCAATGATGCTGATGTTAGACGGTCAACCAATAATTCTCTGGAATGAGGCTATATGCTCACGTATGCTGCATGTCCTTGACAGACCACGTTGATCCACGGTGTTCGGTGAAAGTGTTAACTATATGTCGATCAATAACAGTTCTTACGATCACGATTATATGCGTACCAATACCCTTTGTTGAACCAGATATCAGAAAAACCCGATCAACATTATTATGACACGACTCACCCACAAAGTGATAACCCACGAATCCCACCATTCTGGGCTGCGACCACTTCGTTTCACCCAAGCCTCGCCCACCACAAGCAAGATCGCCATGATAACACCGTAAGCAACGAACCCACTTCCCTGATTTTTTGTATCGGTTAATATCTCTGTGCCCAAGAAACGGATGATGGTTGGATTAGCGCACCATAATATAGTGAGCTAAACATTGGCCCAAGTGATCCCGACAATAACCTCTGAAGGCGATCACACCCAACAACATTTGGGTCCATCCAAGTACGGGATAGGATTTTCCTACAATGCCATGTGCGATAACAGCGTAAGGTCGTATGGTGCGCTCATGTATGTGTAGCTTAAGATAGATCCCAAGCAGTAGTTGAGCAAATATTGGGATGAACAGGACATTTGCGAAGACACCGTGTGCGGAAGGCAGGAATTGACGCCCTTTATGAGAGTGACCCAACACTATGCCTGCTATTGTCAGTGCAAAGCCGGCACTCTGAACAAAAACAAGAACTCAGTCCAGAGAGATTATAATTATTGGATATCGCATATACCTGGAGGGGAACGTGCCAGCGACTTCGTGTGATTCCGAGAACCATTCCAACAGGAAATAAAATGCCCCAGACAAGTGCTTGCAGGCCCATGTGGATCCATAAGATGGTATCGACTGGAGCTGTAGCCTCTTCTTCGCTTAGTTCATCATGATGTTCGTGAGCGGATACGACCACGGCGGTGAGGACGAGTGCCGACAAAAATGTGGGTAACGTAGAGAGTTTAGGCATGGTTGTAAACCCTCAAGATATTGGGACCTACCAGGGAAGGCACAGGCGCAGGTTGAAAGTCTTGATGTACGGACGTGGGAAATCTCCTGTCCCGATGTCCCCGCCCGCGTGTCATCCTCACTAACGTATACTTAGTAAGTCTCACTGGCAGTGCCAGTGGCATCAGAAAAATGTAAAATACTGTCGTTAACCGTCAGTTCGGATGGGGGCTATTCAGACATCACAAAAGTAACACATTGTCACAGAGAGGTCACAGAAGCCGTGTTAGAATCCCGCTCGGCACTATCAAGAGCAGAAAATTCGCTTGTCCCTAGATAGTAGTAGGAATTGTAGTAAAATTTTTTAGTAGGATATATCATTTTTTTATCACGCAAAATCTGAGAAAAGCACATATATTGATAGAGAATTATATACAAATTTACAACCACATGTAGCCACGACAAGCACTGGGACTGTAATAAATCATACCAAGCTTGTCATTTGGACCTGGTAGTGTAAGAACTCAGGGTGGGCGCATGGGAGGATATGTACAAGGAGGGGTATTGCTGAGTAAAAAAGGAGAGGAGCTGGGGGTCATATACATGCAAGGACACCACATATTGCGCAGAGGGGAAAGCGGGAGAGTGGGGTGAAAAAAGGGCAGAAGAAGAGCTGGACCCACTTGCAGGGGAAAATGAGTTTGGGGCATAATGGCCAAATAATCCAGCAAAGTGAGACTGGCCTGCCAGCTCCTCATCCTCATCCAGGTATGCCTTGATCCTAGTGAGGAGCTCCTTGACTGTCCAAGTGGTGACAGTTGCAGGGCCCCAGCAACTGTGATGAGGTCGTTCTTTTGTTTGTAGGATGGCAGGGGCTTCTCAAGGTTCTTCAACACTGTGTTCTTGTGAATGCAGGCAGTATGGACAGCCTCATCTACAATTTTCTGAGCATCCTTTTCTGCCCTCTCCTTTGCCTTTCTGCTGTGCTTGGCCTCTTCCCAGTCAAAGTGCGACTTTATAGCTGGGTGAGTAACAAACCAAGTCTTTATCTTTCCTGTCCCCCACTTCTTATTCTTCTTAGTCAAAACCCTCAGCTGCTTGCATGTTTCCTCAACCACATGGGAGATGATAGTGCAATGGGCATTTGCAGTGTGTAACGACCAAGAGTTTGTTACTCTGGCACACAACTCAGACAAAGTTATAAATGTAGTGAGGGGAGTGGTTACCCTTAGGATAGGACCGAGTTAATTGTGGGTGAACAACAGGAGGACTCGCTGAGGAGTCTCCTTGATCTATTGGGGTATATATACTGATAAAATTGGATAATGACCAGACCAGGGATTGAACCTGGAACCTTCTGGATACATGCCAGCTGCTCTACCAATTGAGCTATATGGCCAAGGTTATACAATGTAGGATCTTAAACATGACATGCAACCACGGACGTCTTACACAGAATAGCTGCTGCATACTGGGCTGGCTTACAAATCAGAGGTATTATCCTATGGAGTATTGGTATGTCAGAGTATATTCTAACATATACTACTACAGGTTGTTTGTACATATATACTATACAGTTGATGAAGGCAGTGGTTGATGATGTCATGGGGCACAGCCCATGTGACCAGCTCCACTGCGTGAGATACTTGTATCTAAAAATAAGAAAAAGGCAGCGCAGCGCAAGAAGTGGAGTTTGAACAATAATGGAAAGTGCCACATAACACAGGGTGTGAAAACTACAAAAGAAAGTTGAAGAGGAGAATGAAATTTAAAGGTCCAAAAATTGTGTTATTGTAACACAGTGTTTCTTTCTGCCTGCATCTGGCCTAGATGCTCCTCCAGCTTCTGGCATGTAGCCAGAAACTGTGTGTTACAATACTCAATTTTCAGACTCTTGACTTTCGATCTCCAATTTAATCTTCTTTCTCATTTTTCACACACTTGTGCCATGCAACATTTTCCTTTTGTTCAAACTTTCACTTTCTCGCGCTGCACTGCCCTTCTATTTTTAGATACAACTCTCTCATGTGATGGAGCTTGTCACACAGGCTGTGCCCTATGACAGTATCAGCCACTGCTTTTACCAACTGTATAGTACATATGTGCAAATAGCCTGTAATTGTATAAACAACTCAATAAATCAAGGGGACTCCTCAGTGAGTCCTCCTGTTGTTTACCCACAACTAACTCAGTCCTATCTTAAGGGGTTTATCCACTCCTACTTCCCTCACACTTGCTTGTCTGAATTGTGCACTAGAGTATCAAAACTTTGGTTGTTACACTGTGCCTGGTCTTGTTCAATGAGGTTGAGCTGTGTTTGGGTTGAAACAAGATCGGTAAGAAGTTCTGGGCGAGTTCTTTTTTGATCTTGTTCAACACTAACAGTTTGCCAATCTGGACCAAGTTGATAGATTCAACCAAATTTGCTTGGGAGGTCAAGGCCATGGATGCAGGAAAGTGGGGAGGGGGAGTATTGGTGGTCAGTACCAGGGCCGGAGATGGACAGGGAGATGGAATAGCTCTGAAGGGAGCTTGGAGGAACCAAGGGAGGGACAGGGGAAGAGGGAGCCATCTGCATTGTCTTTTTCTTTGTCTTTTTCATCCTCCTCTTCAGCCTCATCCTTGCCCTCAACTTCACTAACTCTACCCACCAACTTGGCCATCTCACTGCTGCTGTTGGAGGAGGAACAATAGGACTCAGTGTCATGCATCAAAAATGACTGGTAGCATGGACAGATGTCAATAATAAAGCAAATATTGAAAAGACTTGCCTTTGCGCCACACAGGCACAGTGCCACATGGAATAGTAATTAAAATTGCCTTTTTTGAACTTGTGGCTGATCAGCACTACTCTATTAGGCAATCAAGTTGCACTAACCTTTGTTTTTTGTTCAATACTTTTGGCATTTTGGCATTTTGGCAAATTTTTGCGTTGCCACTGGCTACACATTGTGTCCTTGCTTATGTTATTTCCCCCTACCCTTTTTCCTTTACTTAGCCCCACCATATACCCTCCTTTTTATTCTCACCTGACAGTTGTTTCTGGCTACCTATTCTAGTCCACTGCTTTGTCACCTCCACCCTCCTCCTACTTGTCTTTCTTGCTCGTCCACCATACCTGATGTCACCACTTTCCATCTGCTTCTGTTGCCAATCCGTTGACTACCACATGCCACTTTTAATATCAGCAAAGCCCCGGCAGCCAGTCCAAATTGGGCAACAGGTCCAATTTCATGATGTTGATCTGCCATCTTCCACTATTAAATCATTGGTCACTTGTCTTGCCTGGTTAGAGTGTGGGTGGGTAGTTTTTGAGCTGGAGAAGGTTCATTTCCTTGCATTGCCAATGTACATCACTGTCCCATTCACTTGGGTACATCTATCCTTTGTCTATCATCTTTGCTATAGCTACACTTACCATATGCTGCCTGGGACTCACTTGTTTGGACCGGTGGCTCCAGTTCCTTTTTTTCAGCAGAACATTCATTTTCAGTGCAATTATTTTTGATTTTTGAATCATTTTTATGGACACATATTTTTTAGAATGCCTGACTAACAATAAAAGAACTGTGTTGCTACTGATATTTTTTCGCCTTGCCCTTTTTTCACTGCATCTTCCCATGACATCATGATTTTCTTGCTCTTTTTCTGCTATTGGACTTTGTTTTATGGCTGTACAAACCTGTGATATTATTTACACAATATTTGTTGTTCTATCTCTTTCTTTTCCTTATTCTGACAATCTTATCCTGTACTACCTATGCAGGATTTGTCAGTGTACATTCCTTCCTTCATGTTCTTTCTCATTCTCTTTGCACAGCTATAGTATACTGTGCATAGTCTACCTTTTTTTTACTATATAAACCCCTGTATTTTACCTTGTAAAAACAGGAAATCATAATCCAGACTTTTTCTCTAATCTCAAGTCCACTTCTTACTGCTACTTGTGATCTAGTGTGGTCACAATACATACTTCCCACTGTTAATTGCAGTTATTGTCACTCATCACTTTCAAAAATCATTGTCATCCCTTTCAATTAGAGTCCTTCTGAGCACTACAGTCTGTGCATCAGGAGCCTGCTATCACTGGGAACCTTGTCATCTTGTCGTTCTCAAACCTATCTTGTGCTACGATTAGCAAGGTAGTGCTTGTCTATACTCTTAAAAAAAAAAACCCTATCTTCTATATTCCAACTAGCCCTCCTCCTCAAAACCCACACCCATACATCTCTGGGTTTCTCTTTGAAGGATTGCTATACATACCACCCCACAAACAACCAGAGCACCCACTGTTCTAGGAGGCAAAGCCCATAAACAAGTTCCGTGGAATCTGAGAGGATTGTGCGTTAGTTTGTTTTGTGTGTGATTTTCTGACTACAGTCCTCATCATCAACATCGGATGTCAGAACGGTGACCTTCAGAAAAGCGGAGTTCAGAGTGCAGAGATGGTGTGGGGAGTGGAATGGAGTATGAAGTTGGGGATTGAATTAGCTTGTGTGCTAGGCCCTTCCGTGGACCTTGGTCCCTAACTTGTCAGAGTAAACAGATGAGAGTAGAGGATGAAAGGTGGAGTAGAGTAAAGGTCCTTTGGAGAAGGGCTGGAAAACTTAGAAAAAGACTCAAATAAAGATGAGGGAAACTAGTTAATATCCAAACTGCAGGAACAGAGTACAGGAGTTACATCTTATATACTATTGGAGGACTGGGAGTGAGTAAGGAGTAACCCATACTGTAGGTATGGAGTTCCATGCAGACAACTATCTAGTGAGGGGAAATTGTAGGTGGGAGGAGTATACCATAAGGTCTAAACTACAGAGCCCATGGGGAATATGAAAACACGTGGAGGAAATGTATGGTGGACTAGAAGTCCAGTGCAGTAGTAGCAGAGCAAACATCTGGAGTACCATGTGGAGGTGGGGTACAGGGTTATGCCAAACAGCAGAACACAAGGAGCATAATCCTGAGAGTACCAAAGATTTGGGAGTTTGGGCTTGAGAATTTGTCCTCTTCAGAATTCCGGAGCTATGCCTTCTGGCATGGATATCACACCAGGGAGGTGTGCAGAGGAGGAGATTATGTGGCTCAGGGCAAAGTTATTGTCAGTGAACGTGTTTTGGTTGAAAGGGTAAATCCCTGTCTGCTTAAAGGCTGTGCAAATTAGTTCTGGAGTAATAACAGCATGAACTGTTATGTACTCATGTATAACATTATACCTGTCAATAATGATTACATCAAGAGCAAGTTGGCTGATGTGAGTGGCCCACTTCCTTTGAACTGGCAAGCAGACATTTTTTTGCATGGCAGGCTATTCATGCAAGCTATGGGTGTTAAGGGTCAGTACAATTAGTTTGTTGTTGACATAGTGAGAGCTGGCTTCAGGAATAAATATGTCACTGAACCATTTCTTGCATTCATGGTCTGTCCAGCCATTTGGGGTACATGAAATGCTGAAAAACAAAACGGAAAAGAGAGAAAATTAGCAAAATAAAACTAGTATAAAGTAAATAGTGTACCTCCCAATGCCTTCAAGGCCTTGTATATCAGGAAATAGCCTATCTTTCAGAATAAAAGAGGGCTTCATACAAAGACAGCAGCTGAGATACACTCAATTACAGTGTAAGCTTAAGGTTGTTGCTTAAAATTCAATAGGCATCCTTCTTTGTCCTGTTAGAGTAAAATTTACTCCAGTTATTTTTCTGGCCGCTGTTAATGATGGAGACTGTTGCTAGAAATCCACACACAAAAACAAACTAACCAACAATTCTCCCAGATTCCACGGAACTTGTGTATAGGCTTTGCCTCCTAGAACGGTGGGTGATCTGGTTGTTTGTGGGGTGGTATGTGTAATAATCCTTCAAAGAGAAACCCAGAGATGTGTGGGTGTGGACTTGGAGGAGGAGGGATAGATAGAATTTGGAGTTTAGGGGCTTTGTACTAAAACAATGAAAGTAACAAGATTCCCAGTGCCAGTGATAGCAGGCTCCTAAAGTGCAGACTGTAGTGCTCAGAAGAACTCTAATTGAAAGGGATAACAGTGGCTTCTGTAGATGGCAAGTGACAATGACAGCAGTTAATAGCAATGGCAGTAAAAGTGTTGTGACCACACTGGATCACAAACAGCAGTAGACAGTGGACTTGAGATTAGAGGACAAGTCTGGATTGAATTTTATTTATTTATTACCAGGTAGAATACAGGGATTTATATAGCAAAAAAAAGAAAGGCTATGCACACTATAGCTGTGCAAATAGAATGAGAAGGAACATGAAGAAAGGAATATATGCTGACAAATCCTGTATAGGTAGTACAGGATAAAATTGTCAAAATCAGAAAAAGAAAGCAATAGAACAATGAATGCTGTGTAATGTCACAGGTTTGTACAGCCATAAAATAAAGTCCAATAAGAAAAGAGGGACAAAGTCATGATGTTATAAATATATGCAATAAAAAAAAGACAATGCAAAAATATTATTAGTATTAACACAGTTCCCTTCTTATCAGTCAGGCATTTTAAAGAAAATATGTGTCCATAGAAATAATTCAAAAATCAAGAATAATTGCACTACAAATGAATGTCCTGCTAAAAAAAAAGGAACTGGAGCCACTGGTCCACCACCTAGTCCAAATCTGATGGTTCTATGGCCTTACCAATAATCTGGTTGTATTGGACCACCTGGTCAAATGAGGGAGAGAAAGGAGTACAAGTCAAATATCAAGGGCTCACATGACCATCACGCCAGGTTGATATCTGTTTGAACCACTCTTTTTTCCCCCTCAGTTGTGTTACAATGTTTTATTTGTCTTATATTATGATACATATTAATGGTCTTTTATATCCAGTTTTCATCTTGTCTAGTTTTAACACAAGATATGTGAGACTATGAGAAGACTAATAGAGAATGTTTCTCAGTCTTATAATTAAGAGACTGAGGTTTGTGTAATGTTAAATGCTATGAGTTTTGGAATAAGCATGGGAATGATTCAAGCTTATGTAATGTAATAGAAAAGGGCCAATCAGAGAAAAAAGAATAATGTGTAACTGATGAAGAAAAATAAATGGTAGAATTGTGACAACACCAACAAGATTCTATCTTGGGGCACTGGAGGACAACCATTGAAGGCTATAACTCAAAGGAATGGTGGTACAACCAATCAAAGGAGGGTGCCTTCACTAATGTTAGTATACACTAGGAGAAGGCTTGCTGAGTCCTTCCCCATGTATTGCTCAGGTGTATATACTACAATACATGAGGTACTATACAGTTGTAAATAAAGCTCAGAGTCTGATGTCCAGCATGTGACCAGTCACATGGTGAGTCTAGACACTCACGCGTGTGTGACTGCTCTGGATGTGATAAGTCTCTATCTAAAGGTTTGGGTGGGGTCTGGAGAACATGATCCGAGAAGCCGAGGTCAGAGTGAGTGGCTACTCAGAGCAGGTTCTATCCAGACCTGGGAGTATCTAAGGTGGAAAGAGTCCATCCTAGACACGATAAAGACAAAGAAAAGGAAGAGGGTGGGTGGGTCAAAAGCTGAGAAAGAGCAGTCAATGAGAGAGATTGTTAGTTTTGGTGATTCTGCACCTTTGTGCTACCTATATATTTTTATTCCTTTCTCTATCTATTCTTCTATCATTCACTATTGATTGTGTTCTCTATTATTTCGCCTTTGTGGCTGCTTTGTTTACCTTTGTTTACAAAACTTCGGACAGTATTGCAGAGTCCAATGCTTCCTATTCTCTAGTTACTCACATTGGACTCTAGTTCCAGTCCCTGATTGCTCTCAGCAAGTGGCTAGACACTTCCTTCAAGCTTTGTTCTTAATAGAGATGTCATCAAAGGAGGACAAGAGACTGCCAGAGCATTCCGTGGCGGGAGCTTGTTCTTAAGACCCAGTCTCGGCATGAGTCCTGGCTCCTGTGAGATTGTTTCTCACTCCCAGAGCCTTCAACTCACGCATGTGCAACTGCTCTGGATGTGATGAGTCTCTATCTAAAGGTTTGGGTGGGGTCTGGAGAACATGATCTGAGAAGCCGAGGCTACAAGTGCAATACAGAGGAAGGGGCTACAAACGGTAATAAATGACGAGGAATCAGGGGGGGATGGGGAAAAGGAGAAAGGAAATAATCTTGGAAAAGGATAATGATGTAACGGAGAACAGAATTTTGCTGAGAGTTATGGGAGGAGCCAGATGAAAAGGCTCCAACAACACCCAAATTGTCTGAACTTAAGATAAAATGGCAGTCTGAATGGCCTGGATGAATAATGGCTAGGAGCGCAAGTTCAATAGCGACAATCTCAGCCCAACCAATATCACGACCATCAGATTTTCAGCCAAGCAGGAGTTGCCAAGCGAGAAAGCAGTTTTGGAAAACAAAATATATACCCCACAAAGTGGAAGCATTGACAAAGATAATGGAAGGAGAAGGGGCAGGTGGCAGAGATAGGTGCATTTCGCACCAGGGAAGGGAAAATTGTGAAGATCACCAAGAAATCTTGACAAGAACATCAGAAGGGATGCAAAGGCGAGAAAGACAATGTGTGGAGGGTGGAAATTGTGCAGCAAAGCGGAAAAAGTGCAAAGATGTATGCGGCCAGCTACAAGGACCATAGCACAGTGGTTCAAAGTCCCGACAAGGACTTGGCAATCAGACTTTGAAACTGATTGACCAGGAGTCCAGGCAGCAGGACGGAGGAGATATTTTAATTTTTTGTTGTCTGGAATTGAAACGGAATGAGTAACAAGGTTCCATGAGAAACCGATATAAGGAAAAGAGGAGTTGAAGTCTATGAACTTTTCAGGTGACCATGGCCACCCAAGCTGATCAGCAATTGACCAGATAAGAGAAGCGTCATAAAGAAAACCAGAGGCAGTGGCATAGAAAAAAACAAAATCATCTGCCCACTTGACAATGTCACAGATTTGGTGGTGATGAAAAATTACAATGATTGCATCAGCAGCCCTGCCAAAAATACCAGAAGAGCTTGCACAGCCAAAACAGGCGGCATTATCAATGTATACCTTGCTGTCCCAAACAATTGTAGCATGTAGGTAATCTTCCGGAGCAATGGGCATACGTCTATGTGCAGCGTCAACATCAAAAACCACAGCTTGGGTTGAAAGTAACTCCAAGAGGAGAGGAGCAAAAATGGCCAAAGGCACGAGAGAAAAGATTGATATTGAGAGGGGGAGAATAATGCCCACATTCGAGCTCCTTTGCAATATTTTGTTGAACAAAATTGGAATTCTGGATGGAAGAGTTATGATTCAGTGGCAAAAACATGGAAGCAATAGTGGAGGAAACTCCAAGACAAAAACCGTCTCGGATACCCGTTGGAACATCGGGGAATAAATGAAGGGCATCTGCATCACACCACATATGGTCCCACTGCTGCCAGAGCAGAGGGGTGACAATGGGGAAAAAGTAGTTACGCAGGGTGGGATTGCCCATTGTGTTCGCCGGACCCGCAGCAAGTGCACTGGTGAGCATACTTGCAAGGGGCGGCTTTGCAGCCTCTTGCCCCGTTCCAGGCAAAGCAAATTGAGACGTTGCCAGGGCCCGTCCACTTTCCTTTGTTATCCTTTGTAAGGAAAGCAGTGGAAGTGACTGTGCAGTCACGTGGTTTGTGGGCGTCAGAGCCACAGAACCAGCAGAGGTATGAGAGGAAGTCTGGATGGGCGGGGCCAAATGAGGGGCAGCAGGGGTTGTAGAGGAAGTGGAGCCTGAAGCTTCACTTGTCCAAAAGGACAATGACTGCAAGTTTTTGACATAGGACTGCATGGCCGAAATTTGAGAAATGTGATGCTGCTCGAGAATCTCATCCCAAACAGCCTGGTGGAAGGCAGCGGGCGAGAAAGTAGCCAAACAGCGGATGTAGGCCAAACAAATGCGGATGTCATATAGGACATAAAGAGGGAAATGCACCTGGAGGTCACTACGGTTGAAGAGTATTTCATAGTGACTGTACCACAGGTTTGCAATTTTGTGTCGATGTGGAGAGTTCAAGTATTGATCAATAAGCTTGATGAAGCAAGTGGCAGCTTCACGGAGGTCACTGTAAGTGATATTCCGTTTGCCAGAGGGATCAAGCTCAGCTTCTTTCAGCTTAATGCGGCCATCAGTGAAGGAGACAGTCTTGCTGTAAGAGGGATTGACACAAAGGGCAGCACGGGAGCGCTCATTGGTGAGTAAATGGATAGCGAAGTACTTAGTCCACCCGGCACGCATGATCTTTATGAACGCGTCAGGGTGGGCACTGTCTGACCAGGAAAGCTGTTTAAGGCAAGCGGGGTCAGGCAATAAATGAACCCGGGGAGGCGTGGAGGCATTGGCCACAGATCTGGAGGCAAGTTCTGGTCAGGGATAGGTCAGTACTCCAGAAGAGCAGATAGTGTATGGAAATGCGTGAAGGAGTGCATGTAGGCGCACATGATAGCGCGTGTAGGTGCAAATGGAAGGCGCTTAAGCAGACACTGGAATGTGCTTAGGCATATGCATGAGCACGGGCAAGCCACAACAGGGGAAAGCGCATGTATGTGCATAGAGGAGTGCATGTATGCAGATGGAGGAGCACATGTATGCACATAGAGGAGCGCAAATAAGGCACAATAGGTGCTAGATGCACAGGCGAGCGCATGGAGGCACAACGCAAGATAGGGAAGGTATAAAGGGGGGGGAACAATGTACCTGCCAGGGAGAATGGTTCTAGGGGTGTCGGAGGAGGTGTTACGCTTGGAATGTACAAGCCTGGTAAAAAGGGGTTTCTAGTGACGAAGCGGTTTCTGATAAGCCCGTGGTTCACAAGTTTGAGACGTATTCTGATGATGAGGATTTACTGATGAATACCAAGTTGCACTGTTGAAGCGTACAATCATATTGAAGATGTAACTACAATACAGGTGTATATATATACTGTCTACTTTAGGGCAGGTATTTGTGTTGAACAAACAATAACAGGTGAGACCATAATAAGTAACAAGTGTGGGAAGTATGAAGGAGTAGCGGTAGGTAGTTACTCTGAAAAGAAATAGAGTCCATAGGGAACATAGTTCGTAACAGGAGGCAGTTTGGCTCAAAGGGCAGTGGCAGCGGTGTTGGCAGCGACAGCGAGCAAATCGTCTTTGGTGTAGAAACCATGAGGGGCAGCAGAGGTGGGGACATGCGGGGAGGAAGGAGAGGAAGGGGAGTTGGACAGAGGCAAGGAGGGTCGTTGGGGCGATGACATTTTTTCTTTCCTCTTGCAGGAAGGACCCGGATGAGGGTGGAAGTGAGAACGGTAGTGGCATGGGAGGCGAACAGGGGAGCGATGCAGTTGCACTTGAAAGGAGGGCGAGGGAAGGGGCCGGATGGAAGGGCAGAGAGGTTGGGATCAGGAGTGGTAGGCTGGCAAGCACGTCGCTCACCAGTAGGCGGGGAAGTTGAAGGCCTCGAAGGAGGAGGACAGGGGATGGTGGACGAGAGGGCGGCATTGATTTCGTCCAAAGGGAATGGAAGGCCAGGCTGAGAGCTGAGAGTGCATGAGGATTCTGGGATGGGATCCAAGGTGTGTGGAACAGTGGATGCCATGTTCTTCAAGGCCCTGCGGGGTTGGGAGGACATGGCCAGGGTCAAAAGCTGAGGAAGAGCAGTCGATGAGAGAGACGTCGTCAAACGAGGACAAGAGACTGCCAGAGCATTCCGTGGCGGGGAGCTCGTTCTTAAGACTCAGTCTCGGCATGAGTCCCAGCTCCTGTGAGATTGTTCCTCACTCCCAGAGCCTTCAACTGGTCAGGTAATGTGTCACATGACTGGTCATGTGACTATGAACAGTCCGAAAAGTAAAGTAAATGGTCATGAGACTTGGAAAATGAAAGTAAAAGTACAGAAAAGTGAAGTGTAAGTAGGTGCTGGTATGTCAATTGCAACAAGAATGTTATTATGCTATGAATAAAATATGCCAACAAGATAAGATCTGTCTCATCAGCTCACTAGATAGAGGCCAAAGGGGTTCCACTATAGGGGTGGAAGAAAAGGACATGAGTGTCATGCCGACTGCACATATAGCGTGATGCAATCACTTCTGAGCCAGTCCAAAGAATGGTGATTGCGTGTCTGTAGGTTTTTTCACACAACTAGACTGGTATAAAGTTCATTTGTTTAAACTCAATTTTTGGCTTCTGTATTCAGTCATGCTGGTTCAATGTAAACGCCTAGAAGGACGGCACACATAGGGTACGCGTCCCAAAAGCTGTCACAAGATCCCCTTATAGCCAGCCTATAGTCGTGGTGGACTGGGGAGAAACAAGAAGTCGAGAATGAGCTCATTGTGGCGGTAGATCTCAGTGCATAAGGAACTAACTTACCTTCAGGTATCCAAATATAGCACTAACCAATGCATTTACATACCTGACAACGAAAAAGTTGCAAGCCAACCCACTCAAACTTGAAACCGCATCTAAGTAACATCAAATAAACGGAAAACATGCTCGAAGAGAGTAGTACATCAACAAAAATTACAGTATTATCAAACAAATCGATTTTATACGCGAGACTACGACCCAATTTAGCCCATTAATTCAAGTAATCTCGAACAACTGGGCAACAAAACTTAGGCTATGTTCAATCGTCCTCATCGGGTCCTAAGATATGTGTAGCAACATCATCTCTGGGTACTGGCGCGTACCATTTTGATAGGCTCCGTGGTGAGGCCAGTTCAATGTTGTTACCGGTAGTTGAGAAAGATTGGGCATTTCTTCCGGTAGTAGAGAATAGGCGGATCAACGTGAGGATGAGAGTGTACAACGCGAATGCAAGACTGATGCCATCTAGTCATGAGTGGGCAGTGTAAAATCATATAACAGGACGGACCTGAACATAATCAGAAGATAAGTGACATGATCCATGCCATTGTCGTGTACATAGTCAAGTTCCTCGTCGGTAGCGGACATGAACAAAATTCTGCAAAAATATGTTATGCAAAGCTAAAGCCGAGATCATGATTGAGCCCTTACCCAGATGCTATGAGAAGCTACACACATAAAAGAAAAGTCCCATATTTGAATACTGTTTATAACGATATCACTTTGGACTCACGAAAGGTGGGAGGTGACGGAAGGCTCTAGCAGCAGCCATCTTCCCATCATCACTTGGCGAGTAAACTGGAGTAGACTCTGCAAGAGTGTGTTCACTTTGATCGTCTCTGTTGGACACATCTGAAGGTTTCGATGGGACAAAGCAGATTTCGACTATGCGAGAAAACCCAGCGAGCATAAGCGTGTATCCAAAAGTTGTATGAACCTTAACGGCTAATTAGGCATTTCAAACGATGCAGAAAGTGATGGAGGCCGTACCTTCGTGGATATTTCCAGAGCTTGAGCGTGCTGCGACATTGCCCAGCCAGTCAAAATAATGCTGTGAGAATATGATCGCGACATCCTAATACAAATACTTTAACATATACTCACATCAAACCGGGAACCACATTGCGCTGATAAAAGACTTTAGCAAAGCGAAAGCAGCTAAGTAGGAGTGTATATCTACTTGATTATTTTGAGATACAAATATCCCTAGTATGCCTCCCGTCCACCCTACAGCATAATCACGTTAAGTAATACTGGTTGATTGATGCGAGTGAGTATCTCGTACATACGATGCCAATGATGCTGATGTTAGACGGTCAACCAATAATTCTCTGGAATGAGGCTATATGCTCACGTATGCTGCATGTCCTTGACAGACCACGTTGATCCACGGTGTTCGGTGAAAGTGTTAACTATATGTCGATCAATAACAGTTCTTACGATCACGATTATATGCGTACCAATACCCTTTGTTGAACCAGATATCAGAAAAACCCGATCAACATTATTATGACACGACTCACCCACAAAGTGATAACCCACGAATCCCACCATTCTGGGCTGCGACCACTTCGTTTCACCCAAGCCTCGCCCACCACAAGCAAGATCGCCATGATAACACCGTAAGCAACGAACCCACTTCCCTGATTTTTTGTATCGGTTAATATCTCTGTGCCCAAGAAACGGATGATGGTTGGATTAGCGCACCATAATATAGTGAGCTAAACATTGGCCCAAGTGATCCCGACAATAACCTCTGAAGGCGATCACACCCAACAACATTTGGGTCCATCCAAGTACGGGATAGGATTTTCCTACAATGCCATGTGCGATAACAGCGTAAGGTCGTATGGTGCGCTCATGTATGTGTAGCTTAAGATAGATCCCAAGCAGTAGTTGAGCAAATATTGGGATGAACAGGACATTTGCGAAGACACCGTGTGCGGAAGGCAGGAATTGACGCCCTTTATGAGAGTGACCCAACACTATGCCTGCTATTGTCAGTGCAAAGCCGGCACTCTGAACAAAAACAAGAACTCAGTCCAGAGAGATTATAATTATTGGATATCGCATATACCTGGAGGGGAACGTGCCAGCGACTTCGTGTGATTCCGAGAACCATTCCAACAGGAAATAAAATGCCCCAGACAAGTGCTTGCAGGCCCATGTGGATCCATAAGATGGTATCGACTGGAGCTGTAGCCTCTTCTTCGCTTAGTTCATCATGATGTTCGTGAGCGGATACGACCACGGCGGTGAGGACGAGTGCCGACAAAAATGTGGGTAACGTAGATAGTTTAGGCATGGTCGTTAAACCCTCAAGATACTTGGACGTCGCCCCTACGAGCGAAGGCACAGGTCGGAAGTCTTGATGTGATGTGCGGACGTGGGAAATGTCGTGCCCCGGTGCCTCCGCCCACATGTCATCCTCACTGGTAGTAACGAAAGCACTACTTAAGTATACGTACTAACTAAAAGTCAGCCCTCTCAGTAGCGTAATGATCACAGAAACCAGCTCAGCCTTGAATCTTGAAGCTCGAGGCCTTGAGGAACGATTGAGTTCACGAATGTCACAAATTAAGTAGAAAACCAGTCAGGGGTGTCTGATCTTGTCTGGCTTCGCCGCTGCCAAGTCATCACTCTAAAATTTTGAATCAATCATTGTATTGCTATCTTATGTTCGTACTACAAGCAGCTAGTAGGTATTTGAAGCTAACAATTCGAGCCTGTGAAAGGCAATTACCACAACACATGTCAATGCCAACACTTGTCCAACGTCAGAAACTCTTGGTACCATATCATGTACAACACCTGATTATCCGACTAGACCTGGGGAAAAAAAGCAAGCAGATATGATACGAAGTTGCGATGAGCGAGAGGACAAGTAATGTGACTATCTTCGGCAAAAAAACCCGCCTTATGAACAATAAGTTACGGAATTGTCGTATACGAGAAGACTATCAAGTGCTCGTGCTGTTTATGTACGCATCACACACGCTGGCATTGTTGTACTGTGATGGATCCATCGTAAAGAAACCCAATTTCAAACCTTCCAAATAAGACCTGTGCGCGAGCAGCGATGATTAGAAAGCATGTGTTTAATTGGTGGAATCTCATCACTTGCCATTGTCTAGCTAGCCCAGCGGCCAACTCTGAGATTTCTGTCTTGAAATTCCAGAACTAGTTTTCATCAGGATTCTGTTTGTACAATCAACATGTCATAGGAGACTCACAATCCATCCCGCGCCTTTACTGTATGCCCACTTTTGAGCATCAGCCCACTGGTATAGAAATTCATCCGTTGCGTTAAACTGAGTAGGTAACCCCCATTCTCCAAACCATAGAGGGGTATCGCCGAGAGCCGCGTCAGCCTGGATACGATTCAAATCTAGTAATGACTAATGAGCATAAGGATTTCTTGCTGCAGTCGGTTCAAACTTACTGCAGACGCTTTCAAGGTAAGCGGTTGGGTTAGGATCAGCCACTCCCTGTTTCGCATATCATCAGACGTAACTCAAGAGAGAAAAGTAGAGACATACTCCGTACCTATCGGAGATAACGAGTCAGTGAATAGTCCCTATGATGATGAAAGAAAAACTGACGAGTAGTAAAGATGGTTGTCATATCCTTGAGGCCCTATTGCAGCATATGCAGGGTTGGGAGGATTATCGTATTGCCAATTGACATCCATAAAACTGTTTCGGGGGGAAAACAGGCATTAATCTCTATTTCTTCATCATACATGACCAACGTACTTGGTAATCAATGGCTCTCGACTGTTGTAAAGAGGCGCTGAAGTGAGGTTGAAATCGAAAATAGTCTCCATACTAAACTGGGAACCGATATCGAGCAAAATTGGGGCAGCCGCTGCCAATGCAGATTGGACTTCAGGGCTGAAAATTGAATAGCTGGAGACTTCGATCATCGCAGCAGTAACATTACTGGACGAAACGGAGACGTTAAGAGACATGCTTGGTACGGAAATTCCTAGCATCAGCTCAACTGCGCGAACAGTCTCCACAAAATACTTCTGGACTGGTTTTGAGAAATGTGAATAATATAAAACGGGGTGACGAAGCAGGTAAGCTCACAGTACCCATAATCCGGAGTCTCATTTGCATCCATGATTGGCTCATTTACAGCCTCGATAGCAGCCACGCTACCGAAGTTAGGGTCAAGATGTGAAAGAGTGGCCATAACAGCAGTCCACACTAAAGCACGGTGGTAGTTATAAGGAGTCTATGGGAGATATGAGTATGATGATACATATACGGAAAAAGAGCTAAATGAACTCACGTAAAATTGAATATCGGTCGTGCAGCTACCACAGAATGTCAGAATAACGAATATGACCATGTGGAAGGGGTCACGAACTTTCCAGTAAATTGTTGGTTGGGTGTCTGTACACCCGGAAGTGCGTGGTGATCGAGAATAGCAGTAATACCGGCATCCTGGAGCCAACTTAAACCCCGACGCTTTAAGATCGTCAGTCACGTTATAACTATAACTGCATGGAATATAATATGATTTACGAGATAAGTCAACCCTCCTTGAGGATATGTTTCAATTGGCCAGTCCACGAGCGCTTCGACGATCCAATAGCCAAGCTAACGCGGGCATATATCAGAAATAAAGGGAAAGTGAATGAAAGAAAGCACTCACGGGAACTCTAACAGTGTTAATTCCGGCTGCCTTGAGTTGGTTGACATCGTCTTGCGTAAACCAGGTGTCCCAATGTTGAGCAAACTTTTCATTGACGGTATCGGGATATGCCTTGGCGAAGGAACTATCGGATAACGTGAGCTCTTCGGATAATTATAACGTAACAATTGAAGAAAAAACCCTCACGATTCGGTAGCAATGCAGGTCGAACAGTCAGAACACGACTGACCACCCATGTCAAGCCATCCTGTGGTAAAGTACTACGCTGTTAGTATCGAGCAACCCTTCATACTACAAGTGTCTGCCAACCTTGGGGTAGCATCCATGATTCAAGCACAAGCCTAGAGCATTATCAGATATGAAAACCAGGCGGGACGTGATGATAATGAGCGTACCAGGATCCCAGGTTTACACCATAAATTTTACTTGGCATAGCAGCCCATGTCTGGGACACAGCGAGAAGTAAAAAGGAGAGGCTTGTGAGCAAGAGCTTCATGGTTGGATCGGGGCAGAAGCAAGAATCTTTCTCTAGCCAGGACCGTAATTTATATGTTTCGAGCTAGGTGGAACCGAATATTCATAGACGCTGTTTTGAACCCACCCACGCGGATTCAGATGGCGAGCGTCGTGCGCCGAGCTGGAATTCGGGCGAATTTCACGGATCGTCAGAAATGTGAACCCACCTCATAGGTTGAGCCGAGACTAGTAAGTGGGAGAAAGAGTCAGCAGACTCGAAAGCGTGCCTATTATAACTTGTCCAGGAGAGAAGAAGCCATTGTATATGATGTCCTAAAGACGACGAGCGCGCATATACGGTTTTGGAGAAACGAGCGTTGGGAAAAGAAAATATGGTATTTGCACACGAACAGGGGTTATATACTATTGGGACTGGCATGGACGTCATTGGTGATCGATGATCAGTTGTTGCTATGGACGAGTGCAGGAGAGACGGTCGCCCCGCCGTGGCATGCTGTCGATGTCCTATTCTGGGATGTGACACATATAAGCGAGTATCTCGGTCACGTGTAGTGTGACCGCATGGTTATCTGGCATGTTCTTTATTTTTTGATATCAAACTGACCGCAACCATTTGTGTTCTCCCATGGAATGCTTCTTCTGTGAGAATTATTTTCTATGCCGATTCAAATATTTATAACTAACAGCATTAGGGGCATCCATGGAAGTTGAAAGTTCAGCAGAACCGTGTCAAGGAAGGAATATGCAGGGTTTAACTTGAACTCAGGATCACCGTAAAACTAGGACTTCTTGGCGCATGTCTCGAAATTCCTATTCTTGTTCGACCGGCCGGTACATATTCTGTACAATCATATGCATCGTATACTCATATCATTCCTGCCATCGTGGTGCATGTGCATCTATCACGGCAGACCTGCATCTCTGTAAGTGTGGCTATGGCTTAGCTTCATCAGTTGGCAACGAATCTCGTTACGAATGTTGTCTTGTTGACCTATTTATGCATCCGTCGCTTCTACATTGCCTCTAGTATAAAGGCTTGTCTTGCTGGATCGTGTTTCAGTCGCAATTCCAAGTGAATTCCACTCAGACAAATCGCGATGTCTTCTGTCTTTGTCGCTGCTCTCGTCGGTGCTGCTCTCGTCCAAGCCTCTCCCTCGCTTGTGGCGAGGCAGAGCATCACGGCTTTGTCGACCTCGCAAATCGATGCATTCACCCCATTCACCTGGTACGCAAGCGCAGGCTATTGTCAGGCCTCTGCTACTCTCGCATGGAACTGTGGAGGTGAGTCTTTCTGAGACCATTCAATGTTTTGCATCCCGTTCATTTAGTCTCACCTTTTCGATAGCAAACTGTCAAGCTAACCCCGGGTTCAAACCTACCGCATCCGGCGGTAACGGTGATTCAGTGCAGTACTGTGAGTCTTACCTTAGTAATTCAGAGTTATGAGAACCTTGCTAATCAGAACGCGTCGATTTATAGGGTATGTGGGCTACGACCCGTCTCTCGATACTGTGATTGTCTCTCACCAGGGCACAGACCCTTCCGAGATGTAAGTTTGTCTCGCCAAATATTCAATGTCTGGCTTATTTCTTTGTTATAGCGAGCCTCTTGTCACCGACGGAGACTTTTTCTTGACGAACTTGAACTCGACCCTTTTCCCTGGTATTGACTCGAGCATCGAGGTCCACAATGGATTCGCCGGCGCTCAAGCAGAGTGAGTTTGCCCGAATTTCCTGAGTTACTATATCTGATATCGCATGTAAATTAATAGCACTGCTACTGACGTCCTCGCTGCTGTAGAGTCCACAATGTCGACATATAGCACAACCTCTGTGACTATGGTCGGTCACTCCTTGGGTTCGTTATTAGCGATTCTTAGTATAATTTCAACATTTGCTTACATTCTTCCAATGTGAAATTAACCAGGTGCTGCTATCACCCTCCTTGACTCTGTGTACCTCCCACTCCACCTCCCTTCGGGCACTACCTTCACAACCTACGGCTACGGTCTACCCCGTGTGAGTTCTTCACACCTCACGTCTACGGACCTGCCGTTTTCTAATAACTCTGTAAAATAGGTCGGTAACCAGGATTTTGCCAACTACGTCGATGCAAACCTCCACTTGACACACGTCAACAATGAGGAGGACCCTATCCCCATTTGCCCGGGTATGTTCTTGGGCTTCGTTCACCCCGCTGGTGAAGTTCACATCCAAGATTCCGGCGAATGGGCTGCTTGCCCAGGTTAGTCCCGTTGTGAAGTGTTCTATTCTGAGCTGGGGAAGCTTATACATGAACACCGTAGGCCAAGATAACCCAAGCACGCAGTGCATCGTCGGTGACGTTCCCAGCATCACAGACGGTGATTTGTCAAACCACGATGGACCCTACAATGGCGTGACGATGGGCTGCTAAGCTGATCAAATATAAATATGGTTCATTTTATCTGGATCTTACGGAATGTCACATCTACAAAAATCTAAACAATGCGCATCCGAACATACAAGTTTCAATCGTCGTATTAGAATCGGGCTGAACTACTGCAACATGAACAAGACTTCATTCATTTCTGATCACATCGTAGTGTGATATTTAAAACATGATATGTATTTCTTGCGACATCGCAACACCTTGAGCAATTGAAAGAACTTACAAATAACATACCTCAACGACAACAACTCCAGAAATCTATGTCTATGTACATGAACTATTTTGCATACTTATAATATAAGGATCGACTTTGTTATCTACTTTCGTAGAATAATCGCAGATGAGCCAAAGACCCGACAAATTTCGTCCCAAGTGGATCCCAATATAACGAGGCTCTCAGCTCTTCACAATATCAAATACCGACGTTCGAGTTGGGTGAGATACATTCAATCGATAATGCTCAACTCTCTCAATCTCGTTTTTGCAAATTCATCCTTGTACGTATTCCAGATCCTGTTAACGAAACATATCAACAAAATAAATAATGGAATGAAGTGAGGGTTACCAAACATACCTTGTTAGCTCCTCGATATACATCTTTTGTACCCGCATAACCTCTTCAAGAGAGGGCTTTTCGCATTTTTGGACATGAATCGGACGACCAACTGTAAGATACCGCAAAGTAAATGATAGTCACAGTTTCGCGCATGTAGTAAAGAAAAAGGAGCACAACTCACTAACTGAAACTATCCGCCGGCGGTAGGGCATCAAGCCCAAGTTATCTATTTTCATGAGTCATTTATCAATGATGACAGTGATAGCGAAACAAGAAAGTAAAGAAGCATACAGTTTAGAAGTCCTCGTCCATGAAACAAAGGCAGCGTGAAACCAAACATGCTCTGGAATTTCTTCTGAAGCATGTAGACAGTCGTCCCCTTCTCGTTTGGCATCTGCTGGTAGATCTGTTTATGTCATCAGCTCAGTTTCACTCGGTATCAAAGCAGGTAGGAGCGTATCCACTAACGTCGTTTTCACCAAAAGAAAAGACGGGAACAAGATCGGCACTGGGAAAGAAAAAAATCAGATATACACGCACATAAGGGTATCGAATTAGAGAAAATCAACTCACCCGTGCTGGATAGCGACCTTGATAAACCCAAGTCTTTGAGAAGCGTAATAAACATCAAATTTTAAGCAATAAAAAGTTGTAATCACCTTCTTCTGAGTGTCAGATCTGCAGTGCCAGGACGTGCACTCAAGCTTTCTGCCGCACCTCCTACTACAATGGTGATAGCCGATCCAGGGCCTGCTTTAAGGATGTTTGAGCACGAGCGTTTGCTCACACTGCTGATCCCAAGAGCCATAAGAATGTCCCGATAAAGAGGGACATGGAAATTGTTGACGAGCGTCAACAGATGTGGCTTGATGCCAGGAAATGCCTCAGAAAACCCAGTACCTGTAAAGAGCTATGGAACAGACTTTCGAAATCCGGCAAGATGATTTACCTTCTGTCGCAAAAGTAGCCATAGCACCCCTGATGTGAGGCATGAGGTTGAAGTGAGTAAACATAAACTCAGTGTCATTTTGGTAAACTCACATCCCGATGATACCTAGAATATCTCCAAGCATTAACCTATATTCCTCACCAAATAATACCGTAATGTGACGCACCGTGTGGATGATATCCGAACACATACGGTCGGTCGGCAGGAAGATCGCACTCCTAAAAATACCAATAAAAGTAAACAGCACATTCATTCACATAGCATTCAATGGGAGCTATGACTGCATCATCCCTTCAGCTTACCTTCAATAAGCTTTTCGAGTGACCAAAATTTGCAGATCGGTGAGATTGCTCAGGTGTAGGAATACATTCAATACTCACGAAGCAGGGTAATAATCTGCAAAATACTTCCAAAAAGATAATGAGCGGAACCATGGGCTTAGCCTGCCACCCAGTTCTGGGCTGTTATCTATAAGAAACATCCAAAGCAAATACGCTATCAAGAATGGCCACAGCGCTGGAATAGAGCTGGGCACGTTCATTTCACAGTGAATCAAAGTTAAACAGTTTTTATACCACAGAATAAACTCACCAAAGCATCAACCATACAAAACATGTAATAGGAATCATGACTGACCAAACTGCAACGACCATCATTTGCAATCTCCTCTGCCTCGGAATCTTCGAAGGTACGAATCTATCACCAGGCGTAAAGCAAACACATTCCAGTTTCTTTCGTTAGCGGGTTTCATATAACCACAGCGATGAGGGCCCTCAACTCGATATTCGCTTGCAAAGCAGCCACGGGGCGCAGTGGAGTGGCCGTCAGCTTCGACAGACGATCCCGCAACGACGCGGACGACAGACTCCTGGATGTAGAGCTGAATGCACGCCCATGCTCCATGATGGTTGGGTTTGAAGTCGAGTACGTTAATTGACTGCTGCAATGTTGAGGTGCAAGTGTTTCAGTAAAGAGTGCAGCCGGTATAAGCGGCAATTCTGCTTGAAATTACCGGCGCGCCCACCTCACGTGATAGTATAGTAGTGAAAATGTGAAAAGATACAATTCGTCGCTTTATTGCTGTGTAGTTATATCTAACGTACAGAAACTGTGCACAGTCTATCATTCAATCATGAGGCAAGATTCCAACTAAGACACGAGAGCTAAGGAAAGGAGTAGAAAAGAAGCGAAGCTTGCACTCCAACTATGCGTACAAATCGTCATCTTGTGAATCATCTGCGAAACCTGCATTTCCGGCAGGTGCCGAAGGCGCACTACCAGAAGGATCCTGACCCTCAGGGAACCTGAAGTTGTTCCCAAACCCTCTGGACTGTTGTAGGTTCTATAAGAAGGCGTCAGTTGATCTGCTCAACCCTGCAGCAGGGTCATCGTCTCACCTGGGAGAACATCTCGTAACGTCGGATGTCTTGATCAGACACCGAACGACGAGCGTATTTCATTGCTTCTTCAAAGTGCTCCCTGTATCAAATTAAACCGTTAGATAAATTAATATGCATTACTTGGGTTACTAACTTTGTGATTTGTGGTACGGGATCATCCTCCTCGTCTTCCTCCATCTTGGCATCATCACCTGCAGCCTCCTCTTTTTCTCTCTTCTCCCGCTGTTTCCGGATATCAGACTCGATCGATTCTCTGATTGCCAATTTCGCTGCCCGCTGGCATATCTCCGTCAAATCAGCACCAGAGAAACCATGAGTACGATTCGCGAGGAAGGACAAGTTGACATCAGGTGCAATTGGGGACTTCTTCAGCGCAGCAGTCAAAATCGACAATCGTGATGGCTCATCGGGCAAAGGAATATATATCAGCTGATCGAGACGACCCGGACGGAGAAGCGCCGAGTCAATTTGATCAGGTCTGTTGGTCGCACCAATAATGAAGACATTCTTCTTCGCATTCATACCATCCATCTCTGTGAGGATCTGATTGAGTACACGGTCGCCTGCACCTCCACCATCACCAGAAGATCCGCCACGGGCTTTAGCAATGGAATCGAGTTCATCGAAGAACATAACACAAGGAGCAGCAGCGCGAGCCTTGTCGAACACGTCACGGACATTCGCCTCTGATTCACCGAACCACATGGTGAGCAGCTCGGGACCCTGAACACGAAATGTTCAGAAAGTAGTATGAAGTCTGAATTGATGTACAATTTACCTTGATGCTAATGAAGTTGGCATTACATTCATTGGCGATGGCCTTAGCCAGTAGTGTTTTACCAGTACCAGGAGGACCGTAGAACAAGACACCCTTCGACGGCGACATGCCATACTTGAGGAATTTTTCAGGATGGTCGACAGGGTACTGCACGGTCTCCTGCAGTTCTAGCTTGACCTTGTCCAGACCACCGACATCGTCCCATGTAACAGTGGGAACTTCGACGACAGTCTCCCGCAGTGCCGAAGGGTTCGAAGTGCCAAGAGCAAAGCGGAAATTCTCCATCGTAACACCAAGAGAATCAAGCACTTCAGCATCAATGGTGTCCTCATCCAGGTCAATCAAATCCATCTTTTCCCGAATTTGCTGCATTGCAGCTTCCGAGCACAAAGATGCGACGTCTGAACCGACGTACCCATGTGTGTCAGCAGCAATTTGTTCTAGATCCACATCGTCGGCCAACTTCATGTTCTTGGTGTGAATACGCAAAATTTCAAGACGGCCAGTTGGATCGGGAATGCCAATATCAACCTCGCGATCGAATCGTCCGAACCGCCTCAAAGCAGGGTCGATGGAGTTTGGTCGATTAGTAGCAGCCATAACAACAACATTCGAACGAGCTTTCAAGCCGTCCATAAGAGTGAGCAGCTGGGAAACAACACGGCGCTCAACCTCTCCATTAGTCTAATGGCAGTCACTTCGTAAGATTATCGACATCGGAAATTGCACGAATGTCACAAACCTTTTCACGTTTAGGTGCGATCGAGTCGATCTCATCAATAAAGATGATAGCCGGAGAGTTCTTTTCTGCCTCCTCGAACGCTTTTCTCAGATTGCTCTCACTCTCACCAGCCATCTTACTCATGATCTCGGGGCCGTTGATCAAAAAGAAGAATGCACCGGTCTCGTTCGCAACAGCACGTGCCATGAGAGTTTTACCAGTACCCGGAGGTCCGAACATGAGGATACCTCTTGGCGGTTTGATACCAATGGATTTGAACAGTTGTGGGTGGCGGAGAGGGAGTTCAACAAGTTCGCGGATCTGGGCCATTTGTTTCCTGCAGCCACCAATATCGTCATAGCCAACGTCCGCTAAATTTGCCTCTTCATCTTCACGCTTTACGGGATCACCCTCTATAGAAATAGGAAATGAGATTGTCGACTGTAGAGGAGGATATACTAAACCATACCTGTGTGGATAACGGTATCCTGTGCAACTATACAGAATTCGGCTGGGTCAGTTTCAATCACCTTGAACTCGACTGTGCGCATTCCACCACGAACAAGGAAGGTGTCTCCCTTGCGAACAGGACGGTAGGCTTTGTGCTAAGTTAGCGAATAGATACTGAGATTCAAATATAAGACATACCTTCAAGGAAGTAAGGTTTAAGGTAAACATCAAAGATATTTCCACTGAGACCCTCGATGGAGTCATCAAATGGAAGAACGTGTACGCGCTTGCCGTACTTGATATCAAGGCATGAATGGACATTTACAAGGTCACCGAGTTTCACCCGTAAGTTATTACGGGCAACCTTGTTCATTTGCACCCGGCCCTCCTCAACATCATCTGAACTTAAACAGATGAGAACAGTATCGCGTCGCTTCTTTCCCCTGCATCAGTCATCTTTGAGCTGGGAGAACCCACAGTAGACAAGTGGATGAATACACACCTTACGATGATCGTGTCCCCACGGAATAGCTGCAGAGTCTCCATAGTTGCTGGGTTCAGAGTTGCAACTGTCGTACCATTACGATACGATATGAACAAATATTAGGCGCATATAGCGGATGATAGCTACATACCTGAATTATCATCGGAAGTGGCTTCATCAACGATGAGACGATTTGGCCTATCAGAAACATAAGCATGTCAAAAAGCTTGTGATTGACAATTCAATCACTTACGATTTCTTTGGTCTCAGAATGGCGGTAGAAGTATCGTTTGGTCCAGGCTGAGGGGGAGCGCCGCTTGGATCTGCCATTATCACAAATTCTTTAAAAAGTAAGGTTCACTGAAGATGGAGTGCCGCAGAGCTTTTCTGCTTTATGTAGTGGATGAGGAGAGCGACGCGCGTCCTTGGGTGGGGGGACGTTTCGCTCGACCGGCAAACACCGGCCGTGAAGTCCGGGGAGCCACGTGCCTTCCGCCCTCTATAAGCAGTTCCCGTTCATTCGACGGCATTCCAGCAGCTCGAAGTTTCGAAACCCACACAACAGACTACGCAGTGAACGGCATTCAACCTTTTGACTGTTCTGGATATACAGTAGCAATAATCAAGAGCCAAGTAACAATCACCATCCGATGCTTCGAACCCTATCTAAGGTAAATCAAACATGAAGAAATGTCCCGCTGTTTTCACGACCGAGATTATGCACCACGCAAGGCGGTTTTTTTGCGAGAGTTACAACTCTTCGTCATCAAAGTCTATTTCTTCAGGAGGGAAATCGCCAATTAAAACTCTATCCGGACGAACAAACACGCCGTGACTTGGACCGCAAGTGAAGTACTGTTGTCTTTGAACACTGGAAGTGGCAAAACCTGAGCATATTCGGTTTGGAGATAGTAGAGATGACAGCTCACCAGCCATCATTCTTTCCAATTGGTTCGTCATACTCTATGCCCACCCAAATGCCTGTTGGGGCGAAAGCTGTCTGCCCTACGAATCTTACAGTGCCACGCTTGTGAAAATTATCTTCCGCTGACTCTACTTCACATCGTGAACCGACAGGGATATCGACTCGCGGTACAGGTGTGTTCGCGGACTCGACTTTTGGTGCAAAACGCCCCACTTTGTTTCGTTGCTTGTATGCGAGAACACTGTCTATCCGAACATAGGTTTTCCGATGTCATATGAAGGACGGAGCAAATCACCTTGTCGCTCAGCATAAGCCTCCTTACTTAGCTCAAATTTTTCGACTTGCGAAACATCGGTCAACTGGCCTGTGAGTGAAACGGATGGATTGGTATCTGTGACCTAATGTCAAATTGATCAGCGAGATGACCTTTTAATTTCCAGAATGTCTGGTCGATATGACCTACTTTTAGAATCTGCCAATCTCTTACTCCATAGAAACCAAGCGATCTATTGTCCTCATCCAGACCAACGACGATGTGAGATTCATCGTTGCCATCGCATACCGAGATCTGCTGGTTGGGCACTGGTACCCCAGTTATAAGTTCAAGCTTTGCCTAGTAATTCGATTTGAAGAACCAATAGGAAGGATAAGGATCGAATGCGAAATGATCTGTTAGATTAGCCGTTTCACTATGATGATTGTGCATACACAACTTTAAGCTGCTCGACTGTGATATGAAGGTCAAAACGACGCTCTGAGCGCGTATCGAGGGAGACTACGAAGACGTTGACAGTACTGGGTGACATTACTTGAGCGTAGAACGATTAGGCTGGATCATGATAATGTGGCCATTTTGCCAAAAATCAGTCACGTGATTTCAATAGCTTCAAGAAACAAACGATTCAAGTTGAAAGTTTACTAAAAGCCCATTGAAGTCAATGAAGAACAGCTATCAAAATTTTGCTATACCAACGTTTGTAACACACTTACAAGAAAATATAGTTCGGGAGTTTGCATTGTGAATTTCCTTGTCAAAACCCAGTAATCAAAGTTACCTATCCCATACATTTCGTGTTGATGGAGAATACACCATACTGGGTGTTGACACTTTTGATACCTCATTTAAGCAGCTTAGTTGAGCTCATATTATGGGACAGGAGGTGAGAGCGCATTTAATGAAATCCTCCACGAAGTGATGTATTGGAATCTATCTGCTAAGGATATCATTCCATGATGTTTCTCAGAAAGTATCACAATCAATGATATCAAGGAAACCAAACTTCTATGAGACCTGCTTTCCGTCAATACTTGCATGTTTCATACGATTCCAGATGACGTTGCGCGCTACTTCTCCAGGATCACATCTCTTCAGTTTGTCATAGTCATACCAGACAATCACAGCGTCGGAATCTGCAACAATAGCACGTTGTGAGTACGAATACGCAATGCCGTGGAGATTGAATTGGGTGTGCGATAGAGGAGGTCCACGTTTTGGTTTCGAAGTTGCCAAAGTTTCGCTGTCAAGTAAGTGCGGCTTGTGCGCGATGAGAAGCTGTGTCACAGGATAAAATGCATTCAAGACGGCAGATGGCAAATCACTAGGGAAACGCACAGTATCAGGATAAGTCACGGGCCGGCGGAAATTGACACTGATGGATTTCAGAATGAAGGAGATTCCCTGGGCTTTCAGCATAGCTTGAACCTTTGTGGGGCCGCCGAGGTCATTTCCGATGGACATTATCCATTCCATTCGACCCTAGGATGCCCTCGGTGATAAGTAGTGAAAATTGGGGAGTGTATTTCAATTGAAAGGCTCACAGACTCAAAGAAGCGGACTGCAATGGAGTACTAGTGCATCAGTGTCCTCTGTTAATTAGCGTGAAGTGACTGGGGTTGTACCGTATTGAGCATTGTTGACGTGTCTAAGAAATGGTAGTTTGAAGGTGATGAGGTACAATAACAGGTGTACACTCACTGAAAAGCATCGTGATGTCCCCATACAATACTTTGCTCCCAGAGGGAGGATGGATCATACCCTAAAGCTAGTAGTTTTTGTGTAGCTTCCTCTCGCGGAGCCAATTCTGGTACAGAATCAAGAATGGGGTTGGCCTCGAATAATGGGTCAGGTGAAGCAGGGCCCTGTGTTCCCGGCGGGATATGAAAGGGAGAAGAAGGGTCCCGAAAGGCTGCCTGTAAAGACTGATGGTGGTTTGAATGAACACTGTTAACGATGCACCAAAGACCGTGTACACATACCTCTATAGAAGAACGGCTGGAGTATGATCTAATAAAACCTACTAGTCTTAGGGCGCGTTTAGCAGTGAGTAGATGCATCCTAATCAGTTGGTCTGACCACCAGACACGAATATGAAAATGATCATGACCGCCTGAAACCGGAGTCTGAAGTCGTGGGATACTGTAGTTACCGTAAAAGGAATATTAGTTTCCGTTTTGAGACCAGTCTGCAACTCCGAGTCTGATCATCATCTCCGCACATTGGCTGACAGTCCCAAACTCTATGACATCACACTTGAACCACCCGCCAGGACTGAATAAATACCAGCCATGTCTTCCAATTCCCACTTTTCATTCCCCATCTCCATCTCACAGATCCTGGTGATCTTTATATCATTTATCTAATTTTCTTTCTTGCTAGCGACTGGTTGCGCATTCTATACCTTCTACGCGACAGGCCTCGCAATACACTCTCTTTAATATCCAACTTCACTCTACCCCGTGATTTATAGCATACTTTTAACCTTTTTCTAGCACACGATAAGAATCTACCGTTCATATGGTTCTCAACTCCCGCTTCGTCTCACTCGCTGCGCTCTGCACACTGGTTACTGTATTTTTCCCTTCGACTGTGCACGTGGCCGCTGCATCAGTTCATCACTATGACTCGAACATCAAGGCGCGCGATGGTTCTCAGGCCACCGATCACGTCTACCTGAGAAGCACTTACCCTAGCGTCAAGTACACGCACGATCGCATTGATAGACGAGGGAGGAACAACATGCATGACGAGAAGTCAGCACAGGAGACCAGTCGCGGAAAGAAGGGAACGGAGCATTTCAAAAAACAGGCATGTTCAAATTTCACTTCATCTTAATGCTTCCTTGTTCCTTATATGCGGGCGGTAGGGCTACGTGATCGGTCCAAACAAACGACATTCGACTTCGAAGGCGAATCACGATTATGACCACGATCGCTATCGCGGTAAAAGGTATCGCGATCAACCAGATAGGCGAGGGAAAAATGACCACGCGTATAGTCACAGTCGCATCCACATCTATGGCCAGAAGGAGGACAGTGACCAGCACATTCATGAGCATGTACATGAATATGTTCACGAGCACCGTCGATCTAATGGAGAGCAATCGTATCCCCATGGAAATGGCTCTCTAGTTCTCCATGACTCTGGAGGCACTTCTTATGTAGTTCAAAGTTCCACACATAGTCGCAGGCAATATACTGCACCGGATTCGGAAGTCGGGGACGAAGACCAGAGGGTTCCAGGAACTGTTGATATAATGGTCTGTTACCCGTTTCTTGGTCCATAAACAGCTAAGTTATTATTACTCTCAGGCTAATAGTACGAGTACTGGACAACAACAGCGTCTAGGTTCTCTAGTCATTGAGAAATCGGCCAACTCGACCAACGACGCATCATTTTCTCTCAACGCGTCCAACACCAATCAGACTCAATTTTACCTTGTGGCTTTCCCCAACAATGTTTCAAACGCTGATACCAGTTCAAACGGTTCCATGATTGTCAAGTTAGAGCTTGATGTATACGATCCTTCGAAGGCAGCGTTGGTCCCCTACTGCGCGACATTTGATCCAAAACCATCCAAAGCTCAGGCTTTAATGATGGAGCCTTGTTCCAATGAATTCGAAACCGAAGAGCACACGAGTCAGTTGTTTACATATAACACTTTTACAGGCGTAGTTGATCCCAGGTGGGAGTATGGAATTAACGGGACAAATGCGACTGGAAGCCACTCAAACTCAACCTCTAGCGCAGGACCAGTTCCCTCAGCCCCCTCCAACTCGAGTGCCGTAAATACGGAAGCTGACAGCACTTTTAATGATAGAGTGACAGGGGATCCCCTCGTTTCTCGGGACTCCTCAAGTTCTCAGTCTGCTCAAAGTCTAAATGTTATACTCGTATTCGCTCCTGCTGCTCCTCAAGTCACACCCTCTGGTTCGCCTGTAAATAGCTCAAGTCCGGCTCCCCCGAATCAGGTCAGTGCCGCTAACGAAACCGAAGCGACCACTACGATCACAACTCAGGTGACCACAACCACCACGGTCTCTACAGCCGGGCCCTCTCCCAATACTATGGATGCTGCGACTAGCACATCTGGGACCAATACTACAACGTCTGCTCCAATTTCTTCTACCACTGCTGCAGCCACAGGATCGTTGGATGTTGAATGGATTGCTGCTCCTACCAACACATCCTCGAGTACGACTTCAGCCTCATACTCCACGTCCATGAATGCCGAAGCTGTCGCTTCTTCAATCGCGAATAGTGGGTCGGCTTCAACGACGAAGACTGCTTCCATCTCAACGAGTACAACAACTGAGACAGCAGCATCCACATCGAGCGGGAGTTCAACTCCATCATCACCGGCTGTGGCACGAGCAGCTTCATACCAGTGGAAGTTCAAGGCTGAGAGGGAATACGAACGGTAAAGACTGTCGTGTTTGAGATGTAATACTAGCAGATAACTTGTAGGCTACAGTGGAAAAATATAAGTCACCGTCAATACGGTAGATTATAACTTGAAATGGTTTCGTAAAAGTGGACAACTCTGCGTGCTATACCAAAACATGGTGAAACTTGTACGTAGAAAATGCATATTTGTATCCAGAGCTAGCTGCATGAAATGGTAAAATAGAGTGCGGTGTAAGTAAACTATCACTCACTCCCTAGACCGAAAAACAGCTAAGGAGCGATATGCTACACATTCACAGAATAGAAAGCGGAGAGCCTGGTCTGTGTGTACGAGCGCATGGCGCTCCTAGACATATATACCAGCTAACTGTGGGTTGAGTTTGACACAGTTGTCCGCGACCAGCCAACCTGACATCGACTTATGCGTCATCACTCCCGGAATACACATAGTTGACACAGTCCAGCCGAATTGAATCTGGATCTCTATCAAGATGCGGGAAGTTGGTCGTGAACTGCCCATCAGTAGTCTCATCAGCAGACGATGGGAGGAGCCGCATGTTAAGTATCAAACGACAGGTCTGTAGATCTCGTTAAGGTGTACATTCAACTAACAATAAAGAAAGAAATACCGACAATAACAGAGAGAACTGCAGAAAACCAACTGTTGTGATCAAGTTAGCTTCAAGGTTGGACGTACGTTTAAATGATGCCACATACTAGTAGATAAGATTGGCCATCGCCTTTTCAAAAAGAGTATATACGAAAAGCAAAATTAACAAGCCTATCATTTCTCACTGTCAAACACAATCTCTCACTGTTAGTGCAAAATCGAAGGACTGACTGGCCATAACCGTAAAAGCAAGAGCACCATCTCGAACGACAATCCACAAGACAGGTATTCTTCCGCCTCCGGATCCACGCTCAAGCTCTATCTTCTTGTAATACGTCATCCCCAGAATAACGCATTGTGAGAAACCGACACCGAGCACGAAATATACCACACTCGTAGGAGTACTCATCACAAGGCAATCCTGATTGTACGGCACATTCGGAATGGCGGAAAAGCCGCTTATGAACATCGTCATGAGCTCCACCAGAATAGCAGCTAACCCGATAATCGTGTAACGTTTTTTCTGACCATAGAGTGCGTGTACTGCACGTTTTATGTACGTAAGTGTGCACGAATATAACACGTGTTAACGAAGAAGACGAACCTCGAGCGAGTAAAGCGAAGTCAAACGCGAGTAGCAGAGCCTCCACTGAACAGCCTTGATAGATGTAGAAGCTTTTACACGTATCGGCCGCAACAGGGGCTGCCCGAGCGAAGGTAAAGATCACATTAATATTGGCTCTAGAAAACCGGCCAAAGATATTATCAGCGATTAACGTAGTCAGATAGAGAAACGAAGGCACACATTTGAACGGCGATTGCAAAGTACCTAGAAAATAGGTAAGCCCACTTGACCATGATCGTCAGGTAAGAACCGTGAGACCTTCTGTCAAAGATGTCACGATGAATAGGAGGCACTTTAAACACGCTGCTTACGGCCAGATGAGACTCGACTCGTCTCCCAGATTAATGAGCATCTCCCAGAGCACCAATGTCAAGGACGCGACTGCAAATTATCAGGACATGCACGATGACAAGAATAGTGTACATACCACAGGCACATTGGGTTATCCATAGGAGCTCTGGATTCGAGATTGAGGTTTTCTCCAAGAGGTCCAAAGGCACAGACATGATTTGACCTCTGCGATGATGTGGATGGAGGAAAAGAGCCTTCGAAAAAAAATAAAAAACGCTCTTTTACGCAGTATGGTCATGAAAATAAGGAAAATAGACCACTCTTTCTCTCCATTGCCCACGGCAAGGTTGTATCGATTTACAAAGAGCCTTTCGGCCACTGTAGTGTTCAAAAAGTTTTATGTAAGTTTTAGGTGTTTTTTTCCTTTACTTGGCCAATTCAAGTTAATCATGAAGGACGGCATGCTGGCTCATGTTGCGATACAGTTGTGGCTCGGAAATCAGCGTGTGACTATGATTTGTTGACACCAAATATTTATTCCAGTTTCAGAAGCTTCAACAGTAATGTCGCGTAACTGTAAGAAAATCGCACCTTCGTCGCTGCGTGTCAAATTGGCCCGTTCCCCGCCATCCCTGAGTTTTGCGCTGGAGATCGAGTTGGAAGAACGCACAATTCAATTGGGGACACAAAACCTTGGGATACTCAGCCCGTTATGAGAGATTCGGAATGTTCTCCAACGCGTACACAATTTATAGACACGGAAGCTCGGGATGCGACTACCATCAATATGTAGGTCCATATGTGCGGCGATCGACTCAGCCTCGATCCGCATCAGGAAAAATCGAACTGTTTCTGGGCGTTAGCTCCAAGCGTTTAAGCGCTTAACATCCAGTTGCAACAGCGCCAGTTCCTGTCAAGGGATGGGCTAGATTCTGGTATTAAGCGTGCCTTGACCAAAATAATTTGTATAATGAACTGCAACCAGTGTTTGACGCCCACAACAGCGACGATGAAACTGTTGCCTGGTTGCCTCAGTGTACCTTCTGACAAGGTCACTGGTCCGTCCACTGGGAGCCTGTTGGAAGTCAACGCGATCCTCAGAGCACGCACTGCTCGGTGTGAGTATTCAGACTCCGCGCATGGTCGGACAGACAAAATTTCCATCTTAGAGCCCCATTGTTGCTCAGGGTGCCTTCGCAGCTCCGAATCGGACAGGGTACGCGCAGACCGCATTGCATAATTTTGTTTCTTCGATTCGTCGCCGTTGGGAGCCTCAGGTAATTGTAGCTGTGAAAACATCGTACAAGGTAAGTGGAGCGAGCTAAACATTCCATTCGTGGACTGCATCTCTTACCCTTGTTCTAATATCTCTTCCGCTACAGAGCCGAAAATCGTGTTGTGTAAGGATGATAGAATGTTCACACTGTGAAGCTACGGATATCCATGAGTGGAATAGTACTCGTATTTCAACGAGATCGACGCACTTTCCTGCATTGCGATTGTCTCAGGTCTTCACGTCAGACATAGCAAGTTGTAGACCTATCTTCGAGTTGGATCAGGAGTTCATTTACTTGTTTTCGGTTTTCACATATCAGGGGACTGTTTTAGGAAGGATATTATTGGCCCCGAACCGCTATCTGGCGAATGGGTGAGTCGCTTTGCTCACCTTTTCATTGACTGGTATTGGTCCCAGTACTCGGAATCCAGTTTACCGAGGAGGCACATTCGTATGCTGCGATCGAATTCCCTGAGATTTGGGGCGAGAAGGAGTTCATTGGGCTCGGAGGTACTTGAGAAGGTTTGGATTTCCATGGCACGACTGTACCCTCGTATGGACCACCGCTACGAAATGTCCCGTGAGTTCAGGCCGCCGCATCAGCCTTGACTATGATCAGCAAGAGGATTCAAACGAACATTCATCCTAATATAACATCTCATCCACACTGCCAGGCGTATAACATGTGGGCTGTTGAGGTGTCACCGTTTTACCCGCGATTACAAAGATCCGCCTTGATCTGGTGCAGATAAGGATTAAGGTGCGTAGATTTTTTTTGACGCTGTCCCAAGAGTCCTATCATAATTGCTACCACCACGGACGGATATAACCCTAAACATACGTTGATGAAAGTACAAGGTTTCATTCCGACATCGCGTCCTTAATAGCCTATTATTATTCCCGGACGATCTAGTAGACGGATACTTGGATTTTGCGTAACATCTTTGGCATTTCGTTAGAACATGAGGCCTGAGGATACACGAATTTCACGAATACAATGCTATTCCCTTGTGAGATCATTGCCAGATTCTGCGAAGAAAACACGCTCACCAGAAGTCACGGTCACTCCAAATAGTTGATTCAGTTACATCCATCTACTGAGTTCCTCTCACACTGAACTTCCATTCACCACGTCCGCGGGCTCGTCATTAATGTCTCTGCTTGCAATAGGGTCTTGAATTTTAGTTCACGTATCTGTGATAGGTAGGCTCTCGGGGTTCCACTAGTCCATTGGAGGTTCGTTCAAGTTACGCCGCATCAAGGATTCCTAAGTGAAAACCGCAGTGAGTCACAATCTAGCAGAGCCACCAAAAAAGGGTCCTTAGTCACAACCTCTGATATTATTTCGCACTAGCTCCTCCCAGCGTTACGACACACTCGGAGGTCACCCGCCTGTCAGCACCGGTGCACCCCGAATCGTCAAGAGGCGCCTTTGTCACTACACGAGAAGAGTAGCTCTCCTTCGAACGGAGAGTCAGGAGTCGGAGAAAGCAGGGGTTCAAGATATATCCAGATGGTATGTGTTTATCCATACTTTATGGCACCCATCATCCGCCAGGAGATCGCAACGGAAATAGACCAAGCCTCAAGGCACCACGGCATCAAACATTCATGGCCAAGCTTATACCCAAGGTGCTTGCTGTTTCCCAAGACTTGAGCAAGCTCAGCTTCTGTCAGGTGGCAACGGAGACTCTGCCGTGCTGCATTTCTGTGGTTAAGCCTCGTGAACTGGAGATTTTCTTGGAAGACTGTGACGGAATCTTTTCATCATAGGATATGCATCACGTGACAGTGCTTTATAGGTCTTGCCTTTTCCTTGATACACGGATAAAGGCAGTTCTTCAGGTTACACCAGGCAAAAGGTGGCTTGGGAAAAACTTCACACTGCCGCCATAGCATTCATCAAAGTGTCGTTCTATCGACGTTTCGCATTAGTCGCCGTCCGTTTGTCGTGCCTGCTTCATGTTTCAAGTCGCCGCATCTGTGCTATCATCTCTGCGGCTGTCCAATGATCAAGGATAGCATGATAACGTCTTTCCATTTACATCGGTCGTTTCGTTTCTGTACTCCCGGGCATGACTCAGCCATTGGCACTTCGTACAGCACGTATTTAAAGGTACGTCTGTCTGCATGTTCATCAGCCATGAGCCACTTTTCATCCCATCTAACAGTGCTCGAGCAAGCTGCCACCCTTTATCCCTCCTCACCTGCATTCCGAGTGCCCCGATCAGATCCAACACACCAGGTACAAGATTGGGCATCGATCTCTTATAAGCAATTCCGGGAAGACGTAGAATGTTTCGCGAGACATTGGTCCGTGATTCTAAAATCTGATGGCATCCCTGCGGGAAGCGTAGTTGGACTATGGCACGTGTTTCTATGGTGTCCTATGTTCTCGGTCACGCTTATCGTATCTCTTTTTTGCAGGATTGGAGGCATGACTTACTGCGACGTCCTTCAAATCTACGGCCTCTCGAGGGCTGGTTTTGTCCCTCAACTATTCAGCATACGACTACCCAATCCTGTCGTCGTCTTTGAGCTACTACGAAAGTCGCAGGCGAAAGCACTGATATATGATTCAACATTCGAGTCTGGCCTTGTCGACTGCCCTGTTCCAGTTCATCGCGCGGCCGATCTTAGTGATGTTACCATCGAAAACCACCCACTTCCTGATATGCCCTCGATAAGAAGCGGGGACCAGCTTGTCTTCGTCTTTCACACCAGCGGTTCAACTTCTGGCAGCCCAAAACTCGTACCTTGCACGTATTCTTGGCTCTCAGCCATTATTGCTAAAGCAAAACAAGCCGGTAGGCCTCGAGATCTTGAGCGGCAAGATGTAAGCGTATGGATGTGAGTGCCGTTATATTCATAACTTCCATTTCGGCTTTGTCTGATTTTGCGTTTTAGGGGAAGTATGTGTCATATCGCACAGACATCTAGTGAGGAGTTATGTAACACTTTGATAATGAGTGATGCTGATTTAACTTGAAGTGTTAATTGGTTCCCTACAATACGGGTCATGTACGGTTCAGCCAACACAAATCGGATTCTCCACAGACGAGTTGGTCGATATGATTCACCGCTGTCACCTTAATCGCCTTAACCAGTTTTCTACATTCCTTGCTGGTCATCTTCGAAATGCCCGCCATAACCCCAAACTACTGAGCCTTCTTCGGAGTTTAGATGAGATATTGTACAGTGGCCTGCCTCTGAATCGTGAAGAAGAGGAGTGGGCTTACTGCAATGGTCTGAAATTGAAGGTGAAGCTCAAGCATTTTTTTTCTTTGCCGTGAAAGAAGTTTTTCTTACTCTTCTTTGCAGAATCTGTTCGGTAGTACGGAGTGTGGTGCTATGCTTTTGTCCTCTCACATCGAGGGTTCTGATACTGCTTTCTTGCGTCCTTTGGAGGGCGTGTCATATGGATTTTCCCCGATAACTCCGATGGACGGTAATGAGGCGAACCATCAAACCAATACACAGCTACTCGAGCTTGTCATCCTTGCGGAGTCGGGCGATTGTCCTCATCCTTCGTTACGACAAAGCGATGGCCATTTCCACACTGGTGATTTATTCCAAGAAATAACGCCAGGCTCATATATGTCCCGTGGTCGCAATGACGACTGGATAAAAAGCGAGAACAGCCTGAGATGTGATGCCAAGTTCGTTTTCGGTCATCGCTGTCTCCTGAGAGAAACTGATCCTTGCCCGTGGGTTTTGCAGAGCTATTGAAGATAATGTTCGTTCAACCTGTGCAAATCTCATTGAAGAGTGCATCGTCGTTGGCACAGGCCGTCCGTCGCCTGTTCTCTTCATTGAACCGGCTCGTGGTGTTGATCACAACTGGCTTAAAAGAGAAATAATTCGGAAAACCAGACCATTTCATTCTAGACGCTATCTTCACGAACGGATCACGTCTCCCAACTTCATCGTAGTTGTTCCATCAAAATCATTGCCCCGGACGGCAACCAAAGGAAATATACGACGCAAAGCTGTGGAGGAAGAATACAAGGTCGATCTAGACCGCCTGTACAGTACTAACCGCTAGGTCTGCAGGATGGACCCTTAATTATTGGATATCTGACATTTGTTTTGTTGTATCGGATTTAACTTACTATCCACCTCGTATATCACTCTTTCTTGACATCTATATCATACGTACAATTCTGCATTATACATACAGTAAACTACTAATGTACAGACAGCAATGTTTATTATAAAGCACATTACTATCTTATTATCAAACAAACACTCGGTGATTGGAATAGAGGCAAATCAATATCAAACGGATCTGACAAACAGCTTGATGCGTCGTGTTCCGGACTCCTGGCAACATGGAGCTCAGCCTGACATGCATTTGGAATTGACATGGCCCATTTGCCGGCGAGATCGATGTCAAATTATATGGAGCGGAATGATGGCTGCGGTTTCCAATGGCCGTTGAAATGATGAAGGAGGCACGATTTCAAATTCCCTGACGTTGATAAGTCGACAATGGTCCCGAGCGTTCAAATATATCCGTCGTGTGCTGGTATGTATGTGACTCTGATTCGAGGAATGGTAATCCACGCCACAACTTCTGGCCCGTATTTCGCTGTTAAACAGTTTGCTCAAGCTGCGCAACAAAAAAGCTGCATTTGTGCAGTTAAATGTATATTATACAGTCCGAGATTATATATATATAAATGACTCACCGACTCAACAGCAACTTGACGAAACCCAACTACAGGCTATGGTAGCAGACCGAGCCAAGTGGACCTTGCATTGATCCGTTTCTGCTATGTTGCTTTGATTTTTGATACCTGTAAGATTACAGCCACCACTTTCAAGTTTAGGCTGTCCAGTTGCAGATTTGATGAACTGGCCTAGTCGTGATATTTTTTTATTTAAATCGCGGAGTTAAATCCGATTCACCAGTTGTGCTTGTATCTGACGTTGAAACCGTGACCGGTGAGGACTAGCCTCAGCTTGGCCTCAACAATATTTTTTCTCTCGTCAGGTTTGCAACTTTTTGGTACAAGCGTGTCAGAGTGGATGGTCCGTCCAGAATAGTCATGGATCTAGCCAATCCCAGGTGCTAAAAATGTCACTGAATTCATTAGTACGTAGCACCCTATGAATAGGGTCGCAACCAACCTTTCCAATAAGTAGCCTTCAATTTGGCCTGGGAATAAGCAGTCTTGGAACCTTTCCAACTGTCGACATACTTGAACATCACACTGCTGGATCGCCCCATAACGGGTAGTTTTATCTGAAGCAATACCGTGACGCTGGGGTGTGCGAGATGGTGCTTAGTGTTAATTTCATAGCACCGTTCTGGGGTGAGTGTGAACGTTATGGGTTTATTGATGGGATTACAAGATGGTGTATGGCAATTGGCAGGATTTGTGTTTTCAACAGCGTTTGTCCTCTCAACTATCTCCATATGACCTTTATGACTCAAGTGCATAATCACAATAGACTCGTTGGTATCTCTGTCGTGCAGGGGTACATATATTTCGCCCGCAACAAACATGGTCATTGGGCTTCAAAGTCACTCGTGAGCATGGATCCTTCCTAACTTTCAGTCAAGATGAAGCTGTTTTTTTAGGTTATTCTTCTTTTGTGAGCCATAGTTGCGTCAATGATGTTGATGCTCTACACCACTGACAGTCGTTTGGTAGGATACTAGATCCAGCTACTAGTTTGCTGTTCGCACACACCATATATTATTATTTTGTGTGTCATTTGTCCTTTTCCTTCGTGTTTCGCTAATATCATCACTCATCCTTTTACAAGCTCATAAATTTTGGGAATTATCGCGTTTTTTCAAAGGTCACCAGGTGAATCAGTGCTCCATATCATTGTAGTCCCTAAAATCATATAGTAACGATAATGCCTCAGCTCGTGGTGTGCGGAAAATGCTATCACATCTATCATTGTTTGGATGTATGTATAGTTCAACTCGCTCTTGGATGCCATCTAACGCTCTGATCAGAGTCCAGCTATATTTTGCCCTTAGAATATATCAACGTATGTATATGGGTTGTTTGCGCTCGAATACTCCTCCTTACCTATTTCTTTTCAGTAGACAAGCAGCACCCACTTCTACCTCGTCCTATTCTCAATTGGATGATACCTGCCTTTGTGGTGTGTTGTTATCTTTCTTTCCCTGTGGCGACGAAAAATACCAACTTTTTCAACTTGTATAGGTATTTTTAGCCTTTGTCTCATTTGGTGCGTCCTTGTTCAGAATTGCATTTCCTAAGCCGTACTTACAGGCCGCTTCTTGTCAGCCTTGGGGATAGGCAAGGGGAAAACCTTTTTCTATATGTATCAAACCTCCTAATGCTCTATCTATATGAAGCCAGGACAGCGTTCATGGTCTTTCAAACTACCAATCACTTAGCCACGTTAAGTGTAACGGTATGTACGACTTATCATGATTTGTCCGCAGTTATATAGTACTTCGTCTTAGCTGGTGGTTGACATGGAAGAAGGATGTGCGGTTATTTGTGATATCATCACCACCTCAGCATTATGCTATATGCTTTCTCCCATTCGTAGTTCAACAAGGTGAATAAGACTGTGGCTATTCGCTGCGGCTGTTGATTTACTGTTGCAGGAAGAGATCTCCTGTCAGGACTGTATTCATCTTTCTCATAGATCGTGGAATTCTCGTAAATGTCGTACAACTTGGAACGTTGGTCACATATTCTTACGCTCCAAATAAGCTTTACTGGTAACCTTGAATAAATGCATCGTGCTTTCAGTGACTGATGCTCATATTTTATTTCGTAGGATGTCGTTCCATTTATGCAAGAGTAAGGTTTACATCAATACTTTTTGTATGTACTCTCTTACGTCCACTTCATACATTAAACCTTCTAAGCTCTTCTCCTGTAGTCGCCATGTGAGACAACCGAAGTAGACCTATTGTAACGCTGCTGAATTTTTCTGCCACAAGGGTAAACTCTCCCGAGAACCAACCATCTAGCGCCAATACACGACCATCCTCCAAACTCGAGTTCAGACGTAGCATCGTCGTGATGCCTGCCATAAGTTCGAATGCCAACCATGATACGCCAAGCGTTTCCACTTCTGATATGGTGTGTAATATCGCTTTTATCTCGTCATTCCCATAATGATCGTCGATAACACGCAGACGAATAATTACTATGAGACGGACATGGCGGCGCCTGAGGCTTAGGGTATGATAGGCCAGGGGCAACGGTGCTAGTGGAACGATCCTGGACTTGCTAAATCGTTTCAACATTTTTGTTTTGCCATCATTGAATGACACGTTCAAATCACGTACACGAGTAGGCGAATGCCTGCGATACGATCTGCTGTTTAGTTGTATATCTCGGTGTCAACACAATATTGTTGATGACTGAATTACCTGTAAGCTGAATATGTGTATATGTAAATATAGTATATCAGCTAACTAATGAGTAAATATATGGTACTTGGGGCAATGCTTGACCTGAGCCGCTGATACTGTGCTTGACGGTCTTGGTCTTATAGAGATGGGCTTATCAACTAAGTGCAGAGCTTGTTGTGATGTTCCATTTGCATAGACCCAAAACACCATCAATAAAAAGGCATACATAGCACTATGCAAGTTGTAGACTATATGACAACCTGGCAGATCCTGGGCAGGAACTGCCATGCAGCTGCAACTGAGTGTCTATAATGCTGCAGGCACTATTTGACAAAACCAGATAAACCTGGTCTCTGCTAAAGCAGCCATTGTTCTCCATGGAGCATAGCCACCACTCCATGGAGTCATTATACTGTAGTGAGTAGCACCTTTGACTATAAGTAGTAGGGGGTTTAGTATAGGAATACCTCAGTCGTTTCTATAGCCTCTTAGGCAGCAGCTGAGTTTCACTTAGATTTATTAGGTTATGAGCCCTGGTGGTGCAAGAGCTACACAGGAAATAATTCTCATGGAAACAGCAACCTCAGAACCATGACCACAGCACACAATACATCTGCATGTCCAGTTCTCACTGGACCCAACGATTTCCAGATATGGAAAAACTCCGGATCATCTCAAAGCTATGTTGGGAAAAAGTTCTCTGAGTTGTTACTGGAGAGGAGCTTAAGCCCTCACCAGGGAAGCCCACCTCCTTGGAGGATCCTGAAATCACCTGGATACTTAAGGATGAGAAGACACATGGAATCATCCATTATATTCATATTGTTTTCTATTTTTACAACTCCAATTGGCATTCCCCGGACGTCGGTCACAATTTGAGTGGAAGGAGCGGAAAGGCAAATAGGGCCAAACTTGGCACCACTACAATTTGTGCCAGTCGGCCATGTGTGTTATGCTCAACTCAAGTTTTGGCAAAATCTTGGATAATTATACAATCAGATTATATAATCACTAAGCACTAGGATGTAGCATACACACACATCTGTTGACTGGTTTGGAGTCTGCTGACACCTGTCCATGCTACCAATCAACTTTGGTGCATGACACCACTGTCTATGCCAAAGTTTTTCACAGCCACCTAGTATGCTTGAAAGACTTTGGCAAGCACACTGCTGAATATAATGTTCTTGGAAGGATGCACCAGCAATAGCATCATGGTAGCTGGTAATGTATTTTTTTTTTACTTTTTTACTGGTGCCAAATCTCCATTGTTACACAGGTGTATAGCCTTGAAGGCCATTCATTTCAAAGCCACATTATAAGAATATTTTTAAGAAAGTGCCACAAAAAAAGAGGATTTGGGTGGTGGTGAGAATGATGAGGACATCACTGGATGTGGGGAGAATGATACTCTTTTGCAGTGGATGATGAGCCTATGCTCAATGGTATCAAATTTATGTCTCGTGCCATTTTCTGGCTGTTAAAATTTGCTATTACTAATGATTCTGTGGTTGGTTGTGAAACTACAGCTGATACGTAGAAGTACATTCTGCTACTGCACTACAGATACATAGCATTACAATATTAGATTGGTATTACTGTTACGATAACACAATTTTTGGACCTTTCCTTCTTTTTCATTCTCCGCTTTAACCTTGTACACTTTAACTTTCACACATGGTGCCACGCAGCACTTCCCCTTTTGTTCAAACTCCTCTTTCTCGCGCCGCGTTGCCTTCTTCTTATTTTAGATACAACTCTCTCACACAGTGGAGCTGGTCATGCGGGCTAGGCCCCATGACATCATCAGCCACTAACTTTATCAAACTGTACAGTACATAAGTACAAACACTCTGTATTAGTATATATACCCCAATAGATCCAGGAGACTCCTCAGCGAGTCCTCCTGTTGTTAACCAACAAACTCTCTGCAGCCTAAGGGGTAAACACTCCCCATTCACTACCTTTATAGTGTGTTCCTGTGTGCGCCAGAGTAACTAACTCTTGGTTGTTACATTAGGACTTGCTCTTCTACTCTCTCGCACGTTGTGCAAAAAGTCCCACTGGGCACCCGGACTCCAGGGTGAAGGAGATTTGGTTATTGTTTAGGAATATCCCGCATAGCAGATAGGTGCGCTCTTCGCGACGGCCTTGTAGTGCTTTGGGAGAAGAAACAAAACCTTTGATATGCAGCCCCCAGCGTTAAGGGGAGTACTATAGCTCAGCAGTGGTGTGGAACCTCTGTTGATTAGATTTTATAATACAAAACTTCCTCTTCGAATACCTCTGACCAGGCCGGGCACTTGCCTCCACCAGTCTGGAGAAGGGTTGACAGCTTAACAAGCGGACCACCCCCTGACAACCGTTCGGGCCAGGGTTTAATACTATAACTTTACATACAATTTTCAAAATACTACAGTGTGGGTAGTCGGAGATTGAGATCCAATACTCAGCTGGGAAGAGGTAGATCCGCAGATAGCAAGCGGGGACCCCCAGTTACATTTTTTTATTTACTTTACAAAGAGAACAAGTCGACATGTCGTCGCAACCGGATATCAATGCTCTGCTGCACAACATGTGTGCGCAGATTCAGGCGTTGACAGGCCAGCTCGCCGAGATTCAGGCTGCCCCAGCAGCAGAACCTACGGTTGAGCAAAAGTTTAACAAAAAGGTCGAGATCGTCGCTGACCCCGGCACTTTCAAAGGAGATAGGGCTCGATTTGCCAAATGGTGGATCAAGCTCCAAATTTGGATCAAAGCGAACTGGGACATGTTCGCAGATGATTTTGAAATAGCGACAGCTGTGCTGTCTCGACTAAAAGGACCTGTGGCGGGTCAATGCGCCCAAGTTAGAATGCAGGAGTGCTACACTGCGGGAGTGTGGCCCACCTGGGACGATCTCAAGGTAGAGATTGAAAAATATTTTCAACCACAAGCTGAGCATGACTGGGCGCGTCAGCAAATCCGTTGTCGATGATGAGAACTGTTGTTAGAAAACCACACACAAAACAAACTAACACACAATCCTCCCAGATTCCACGGAACTTGTTTATGGGCTTTGCCTCCTAGAACAGTGGAGTGGTCTGGTTGTTCGTGGGGTGGTACGTATAAAGATCCTTCAAAGTAAAACCCAGAGGTGTATGAGTGTGGGTTTTGAGGAGGAGGGATAGTTGAATTTATAGAAAGATAGGGGGTTTGTGGCGAGTATAGACGAGCACTACCTTGCTAATTGTAGCACAAGGTAGGTTTGAGAACAACGAGGATGACGAGGTGACGAGGTTCCCAGTGATAGCAGGCTCCTGACGCACAAACTGTAGTGCTCAGAAGGACTCTAATCGAAGGGGATGACAATCTCTTTCAAAAGTGACGAGTGACGATGACAGCAGTTAACAGTGGTAGAAGTGGGAAGTGTTGTGACCACACTGGATCACAAGTAGCAGTAAGAAGTGGACTTAAGATTAGAGAAGAAGTCTGGAATCGAGTTCTTGTTGTTTTTTACAAGGTAAAATACAGGGGTTTATATAGTAAAAGAGAAGTAGGCTATGCACAGTATAGCTGTGCAAAAAGAATGAGAAAGAATATGAAGGAAGGAATGTACGCTGACGAATCCTGCGTAGGTAGTACAGGATAAGATTGTCAAAAAAAAGAAAAGAAAGGGATAGAACAATAAATGCTGTGAGTAATATCACAGGTTTGTACAGCCATAAAGTAAAGTCCAATAGCAAAAAGAGAGCAGGAAAATCATGATGTCATGGGAAGATGCAGTAAAAAAAAGAGCAAGGCAAAACACTATCAGTATCAACACAGTTCCTTTATTGTCAGTCAGGCATTCTAAAAAAATATGTGTCCATAAAAATGATTCAAAAATCAAAAATAATCGCACTGTAAATGAATGTTCTGCTGAAAAAAAAGAAACTGGAGCCACCGGTCCACCACCTAGTCCAAATCTGACAGTTCCATGGCCTTACCAATGGACTGGTTGTGTTGGACCACCTGATCAAACGAGGGAGGGAGAGGAGTAGTTCCAATTTGGAACAAGTGAGTCCCAGGCAGCGTGTGGTAGGTGTAGCTGTAGCGAAGACGATGGACAAATGATAAGTGTACCCAAGTGAATGGGACAGCGATGAACATGGGCGACGCAAGGGGATGAACCTTCTCCAGCTCAAAAACTACCCACCCACGCTCCAACCAGGCAAGACGAGCAACCGATGTTTTGATAGTATATGATGGCAGATCGACGTCATGAAGATGGACCTGTTGCCCTATTTGGACCGGCCGCTGGGGCTTTGCTGATATCAGCAGTGGCACGTGGTAGTCAACGGATCGGCGACGGAAGCGGATAGGAAGTGGTGACATCAGAAATGGTGGGGGTGCAAAGAAGATGAGGAGGAGGAGGGTGGAGGTGACGAGGAGGTGAACTAAAATGGGGACCCAGAAACGACCGTCGGGTGAGAATAAAAAGGAGAGGAAGGGGCCCATGGTGGGGCTAGGCAAAGGAAGGGGAGTAAGGGAAACGACAAAAGCAAGGGCGCAATGCAATGTGTAGCCAGTGGCGACGCGAAAATTTGCCGAAATGCCGAAATGCGGAAAGTACCGGATGGAAAAGCAAAGGTGAGCGTGACTGGATTGCCTAATAGAGGTGGTGCTGATCAGCCACAAGTTCAAAAAGGGCAATATTAATTACTATTCCACGTGGCACTGTGCCTGTGTGGCGCAAAGGCGAGTCTTTTTGAATATTCGCTTCGTTATTGACACCTGTCCATGCTACCAATCAACTTTGGTGCATGACATCCACGGACAACTTGAAATTGCAACTGTCCCCAGTTGCTTCCATAAAGGTAGGGTCATAGGGAATGAAACATGGCAACACATTGAAGGGTCATGTCAGCATAAAATTCGTTCAGGTAAGTCATTAATCGTTATCTTCATCATCTGAGTCGTTATGCTCATAGTCAGGTTCATCTTCTGGTTCATCTAGGTCGTTATCATGGTCATCCAGTTCGTCCAAGAGTGGCATAGAGTGGCGGTTGAAATAGGGAAGTAGGCGAAATGCTGCAATTCCTCTTCGTGATACTGATCCATCCATTTCTTTTAGAACATACGATCCTCCTTTAGTACGTCGCACAACTTCATAAGGGCCATTGTAACGAGGCTTTGCTTTACGATCCAGCTCTTTCTCAACCTGAGTATTCCGCACTAGAACAAGCTCTCCAGGCTGGTATTCGTTCTTGAACATCCTTCGTGCATAGAGTTTCTCAAACTGCGCTTTAGATCTGAGACGAGTTTTGCGTATAGTGAGTGCAGCTTGTTGCAAATCATCCTGTCTCTTTTCTAGTTGACGAATGCGCAGAGCAATGAGGTCTTCTGTTGACATTGCAGTATGGAATCCATGAACAAGGAAAGTCGCTTCTGTCAGATCAAATGGTAGGACTGGGTCAACTCCGTGCAACAGATAAAAAGGGCTGAATCCAGTAGAACGACGAGTAGTGACCTTGTCTGCAAAGAAGGCATGATGGACCTTGGTTGGCCATAAATCGACATTCCCTTCACAGGACTTGACAAGTGCTTCTCTTATGACGAAGTGTCCACGCTCAACAACACCATTTGCCTTGGAATTGTAGGGAGAAATGCGAATATGAGGGATCTGGTAACGTTCCACAAGCTCTTCAAATGCTCCTTTGACTTCGCTTCCATTATCTGTGACAACTTCTCCTATAGCTCCATAGCGACAGATGATTTCTTCCCAGAAAAAGTGAGCAAGATTATGTGCAGATGCTTTCTTCAATGCTCTTCCTTCTGCAGCAAGTGACAGATCATCTCTTGCAGCAACAAGATATCGATATCCTCTGGCCTTGGGCATGAGCATAATGTCGACATAGACTTTGGTGAAGATTGTAGGAGGTGATGAGATGGTAAGTGGGACTTCACTTTTGCGTACACTTCGGATCTGGCATCCATGGCAGGTGCGAATATGATGCTTGACATCCTGTAACATATGGGGCCAGTAAAAGCGCTCTCTGACTGTAGAGAATACACCATTGACTCCTCTGTGACCAAGCCTTTCATGTGCTTCAGTAAGGATGTGAAGTCGAAGGTCAGGATTGAAGATAACTTTGAGAGGAGGAGCAGAGTGACGACGCTTGAACATGCTGTCTCCTTTCAAGAAGAATTGAAGTGATCGCTTGACAAAACGCTTTTGAGCTTGAAGAGAGGAAAATATAGGCAGCTCCATAGTTTGAAGAAAGTGGAAGATTCGACGAAGGGTATCATACTGAGAAGAATCATTGGTAAGGAACGAAGGGAGTGACATAGGGTGATATGGGAGAGGTCTGGCAAGATCAACAAGAAGAGCGATATCATCAAGCCAATCATCTGATTCTTGAGCATCTTCAAAGTCTTCCTCTGTTGGTTGACGACGAGATAATGCATCAGGACCACGATGACGATCAGCAGGTATGTGAATGAGCTTGAAATCAAAGAGAAGGATGCCCTGAATCCAACGATTGATAGTGGCATTAGGCTGAAGATCTGGATCGTTGAGCATGCCTTTGATATACTTGGCATCCACCTCCACATGCAAGTGTTTTACTCCTGCAATGTAAAGGCGAAAATGACGAAGTGCTCTGAACAAACCATATAATTCTAGCTTGGGTTGACTGTAATTTGCCTCTCTATCATTCATGGGAATAGAGCCATAGCGAGCTGGACGCTTCCTTCCATTTTCATCAAGCTGGGAGAGGATAAAACCAACAGCAATCTTGCTGGTATCAACTGAAAGAACGACTGGATTGTGTGACGAATAATTTATAGGGTGAAGTGCTGGTGCAGAAGATACTGCATGCTTCAGAGCATCAAATGCTTCTTGTCTGCGTTCATCCCATTGAAATTCAGCTCCTTTGCGATACAATTCTGTCAAGGGGCGTGCAAGAGCAGAGTAATTGCGGATCCAAATGCGAACTGTCCCACATAGACCAAGAAAACTGCGAACGTCTTTGGGAGTCTGGAGAATTGGCCATTTAAGAATCTTGTCCACCTTGGTACTGTCAGGGAGACGACCTTCTGGGCAGCATACTTGTCCGACAATCACAACTTGAGGACGACATAACTGAGTCTTCTTTCCAGAGAAAGTTCCGCCAGCATGACCAACTCTATGCATAATGCGATGAACGTCAATGGCATGTTCCCATATAAATCTACGAATGCCAGGGTTGCCAGGAATGGTCTCTGGGTTGCCATCTGCATCTTCATAACGAGAAGTAGGTCCTTTGATTGGGAGGTCATCAACAAAGATATTGGCAATATGCGGAATTTCGTCTTGCAAGATGAAAGTCATGCAATTCTGGAATTCTGGAACGGAATTGGTGAATCCCATAGGCATAGAAGTAATCCTCAGAAGTCCTAGTGGCGATAGAAAAGAGGTAAGGTCACGACTGTCAGGGTGCACTTTTCGAGCATCAAATCCCCAAAAAAGATCAAATACAGTATAGCATTGAGAACCAGCAAATGGCTCCACAAAGTCGTCAAGGATAGGTGGTACTCCTGAGTCTTTGATAGTGACTGCATTTAGTGGCTGAAGATCATGGACGATGCGAATCTTGCCATTCTTCTTTTGAACGCAAAACCACTTAGAGCGATAAGACGACTGGCTAGGCTCATAGACTCCAGCTTTGATTTTGTCTCTGAGCAATTCTATGACTTCATTCTTGATTCCAGGAGGAATAGGAATGTTCTTGTATTCCCAAGGGACATGTGGGAGAACAGGTATGACGTAGGGAGAGAAGTAGTCTTCTCTGAACGTTCCTCTGTCAGTTTCCTCGAAGGCAAGACTGCGCTGATTGAGTATCATGATGTGAGCGAAAAGCTTTTCCTCTTCTGGCCATAAGAATCCATCAGAGTTTAGCTTCATTTCGTCATAAAGGCGCTCCTTGGTGAGCTTCGGCGTGGGAATGAATTCTGGGGGAAGGACAGGAAGGGGTG